CCACTGCGCATTATTATCCTATCAGCTTCATCCAGTGCCGAACTCCTCCAATCGTTTTTAACGGTCTGTTCCCAAGGACATGCATCTAGAGGGTCCATAAGTTCTTTACCTAGCATTCAAACAACCAATCAACACGATTCTTTAAATGGTTTCATACCAAAACAAAAACACAGAAAAAAAAACCAATTCTTATCCCGTATCAAACGACCAAACTACTGAAGATATACGAAAAGAACATTTTTACGGTTATAGTGTAAATAAACAAGTTTTATTTATTTTACATTTCAAGTAACCTAGTTTATACTTAAGGGGGTTTATGAGGTGTACACAATAGCACGTCAAGTTACCCTTAACCTGTCAAATGGATTTCAACTTTATCATTTAGTCATACGGTTGGAATTTCATTGGGAGAGCTTGTCAGGTTGGAGTAACTTGAGCTGCTAGTCTACCTTTAAGATAAGGTTTCAGAGGTATTATCGTATAAATGAGGGTGAACACGCGCGGACCTGGATACAACATGGAACAAAGGATAATACGAAATGTTCTCGACACGTTGTCTTTGATATCTTTGGATTAGACACTGAATAAATTCGATTTTTTGTCCATTTTGTAGTTCAGAAAATACAGTCGTCTTTTCGATAAAGTCTTGAAAGGAGATCTAGAATATTTCCCTACCTATCGTAAGACATATTAAATTAACTAAAATCGCGGCTTACTCACGTGAATACACTGAGAAAAGCTCTACTGGTTTCGTACCACAGAGGGGTTCTTTCTCATGAGCAGCGTGCGCGGTCGCGCCGACGTCGCGCAGCTCACTGTGAGCTTTTCTCAGTATATTAACATGAGTAACCCGCAATTTTAGTTAATTTCCTTACCTGTCAATTGTGACACTTTGAAATATCATAGACTGTATTGAATCTGTGTATCAAACAGAATATTCCAGAAGCATCTCATGTAACCAGCAAATTACTGTTTCTATTCCAATAGCTATGTTCCACATAACCCATCTACATAATCTTAAGCTCAAGTACTGCAACATTATCACCCCGATCTACAATCACTTGTGTATCTATTAAATATTCATCTCTGAACTCTGGTAAACAGTTAACCGTGAAAAGGCTATGTGGGGCCGATGCGACCACGGACCATGTTCCATTCTGGGCCATATAGGACAAACGATCTCCCATAGGAACAATTCGTAAGGCCATTGTACAACAACGGGCCATAATTAATGTATTTGTAACACGAACCTTATTAGGCTCAGTTCCCGTGATAGTTTAGAAAGCATTTTTGGTATGTGTTCTGGGTTTAAATGAAGTTATGAGATGTCGAACCATTTTAGTGGAAATATTGCACCTAGTTAAGACTATTATTATACAATACTACTACTATTATTTTACAAAAAAAAACATAAGTGTTTTTTGTAAAATAAAAATGGTAATATCCACTATCAGATTTCGTTCAACCATTAAAAAATTGTAAAATAAAAACCACAAGAACTGAAATTGCACAATTAGCGTTTGTGAAGCATTTCAACCGCTAAAGAACCACACATTTCAGTTTATAGTTAATCAAGTTTATTTGAAACTCGAACCAATATGGCGGACATACTCGTAAAAACGCAAACATGAGTAACCACAACAGTTAATCTAGTACGTACAGCGGAGAAAAGTACAATAGCTTCCACTTCTATATTTTACAGCAAAATATACGTTCGCATTTAAACATAAAACGGGGAAAGAATACAATAAACAAATTTATTACACTCTACGGGAGAATAAAACTAGGTGAAACCTTAGTTGGAGTAGAGGTGCCCATTCAAAGGCCAGGGGCCTGTATCGCGTGCGACTGACACCGGAACCTTAGCCTTTTTTTCTCAGCGTTCCTTTGTTGGACTTCCTAGGGAGAGGTCATCTAAGAGGTCCATTGTACCGGGCCAATTTGAATATTCAAGCATGGGGCGCGCTTAGTAAACGATGTCAATGGCTCGACCATTGAGTGGTTTTTTTTCTAAGCAACCCGTTGCGGTAATTAGTTTTTAATATGTGGTTTGTTTTGGTCGTTCGTTGCGTTTGTAGGGTTAATTAAGTTCTTTGAAGTTTTCTATTTCTTCATTTATATTTTCTTTTGGAATGTCTGCTCTAAAAGTTCGAAAAACGTTATTGATTGTCATTACATTCATCACAAAAATATTTAACCGCAACCCGTTTTAATTTAAACGCATTTTCAACGCAAACATTTATTTCTGGTCTACAAACTGTCAGTTTTGGTTCCGCACCCGATCAGCTTAACAATAAATAGTCGAAAATGCGCGGCAATTGTCCGCCATCATGGATTTTTATTCATGCCAGACACGCCACCACTAATTATACGGTTTTCCGTTTAAGTAAATACTTTTGATACTCAAATAAAGTAGATTGGTACGGCACATAAATGAAATTGTTCTTTTTTAAAATATTTACTGAGATTTTCTTTTGTTATACCATCTGACACGAATTTTTACTAACTAATCACTTCATGGCATCCTATTAACACGGATGGGGCCTAATAGGGCCGATTCCGACACAGCGTCGGTAGGTTTTAATGGTTTGTCGGGGCTCCGGCTCGTAGGGCAGGAGTAGGAACGGGGTGGTTTTTAGTCAGTACCAGTCTGACATTCTCTCCTGCCTCACCCAGGCGAGAGCAGTCATTCGCTGATTTTCCCCTCTTAAAAAATCACATCCTATCCACAAATTCCTAAATCATTCTCCAAAACAAAATAACATACCCACAGAATCCCCGTCTCCATCTTCGTATCTTATACATTTCGAAGTTAACATTTACGTTAAACGTGTAAACATTATGTAAACTGTTCCGTATCTAAGTGATATTATAGCAATCTGAGATTAACTTGGTAACTTAGTATACGAGACCGTTGTAGGAACCGTGCTTAGATTTTAACATAGTAATTGGTTGCATTTATGTATGTTTGTTTACATCTTAATGTAGCTACTAGTTAGCTACTGGTTTCTGACGAAAGTGTGGTTGTGGGTCGTCTTGATTACGTTTGTAAATAAGAATGCATTTAAAGTGGATTTAAGACTGTAGTATAAGGAGATTGGAATAAAAATGGTGATCTATTTATGTAAGTAACTATGAATAAAAAAGATCCCTTAAGCCTTTGACTCATCATCATCATCAACAGTCTATAAATGCCCACTGCTGAGCAAAGCCTCTTCTCACACGGAGGAGGTTTGAGCGTTAATCACGACGCTTGCTCAATGCGGGTTGGCGATTTCAAACTTATAATTGTAAATTATAAGCCCAGGTTTCCTCACGATGTTTTCCTTCACCGTTGGTCAGTGGTGTCTAGATAATCTTAGAAAGTACATATAATTCGGAAAAAGTCACATACATATACATAGGTACTTGCCGTTGGTAGGTTTCGAGCCCTCTCCCTCATGCATGAGAAGCGGGCGTCTTAAATCTCCGGGCCACCACGACATAGTCTTTGACTGCTGACAGAAAACTGTTGAAGGCAAATCCTCCGCTAACGTAGGTCACCGGTGACCTACGCGGCGGTTAACGTGTTTAATATTTTTTGAGTAATATGACATTAAGACGATAACTAATTTCAAATGGGTGAATGTTTAGCTAAACAATAACGACGCTGACACTTATGAACGTGTACGTGTGCTTATGAAAACAAAAAAAAACAATCTATAGTAGATACATCTTCTTTATATGTTCTGTGGTAGGTACATTCGCGTTAAGGATGCCGTAAGTATCACTGTCCGTCAGCCTAGGCTCATTCCGTAAACTGATTTCAAACTATTAAGTGTATTTTTATAAATTCATCAAACTTAATGTTTCAAAATATAATTTGTTTGAACTTCACATCACTGTGAATACACCTTTATCGTACAGTTGCACTGATGACTTCTCTGATCTTACAGTTGCATTCTTAACGCGAATAAAGTACCTATAACAACCATTTAATAACCCTCGCAAATCAGAATTACTAACCGCCGTCTAATTTTCAATTACCCAAGTCAGTCTCGGTCCCATGGACCCGATCTGTCCTGTACCCTACGTATCGGATGAGCAATTATATTGACGACTGCATCGTGGTCTAACAGACCGCGACTAACGCGAATTCAAACGAACAGACGACGCATTTAGATGTGTAGTAGGGTTGAATATAGGGCTTTAAATAGACTGAGGGTAGAATCGGTTTATTGGAGTCGAAATTAAAGTTTGAAGATAAGATGTCTACAACTGGACAAAGGCTGTCCGCAAGCGAGGAGTTGCCATACATAATAAGAGTTCGAACGATGATTCAGACACTGCTGCCTGTCTTCTGGCTGGTTCCAGTATTAGAGAATGATGTACTGCCATCATGCTAACTTCCATTGAGTAGTTTTCCTCAATTGGAAGATGTCCACGTGTTAGAAGGTTTCCTCTTCCATGCCCCCGGTTCACAATGTGACTTCATATCTTGGCGATCTCAGCGGGTCGCTGATAATCTGACATTTTAGAAGTGAAATCCACTATTTCCTCGGCCATGCAAATGAGTAGTGTCAGAAGTGACGAAACTCCGTGACATCCCTAATTTTAACGTAAAGACGAACATACAACACACAGAAAGACATAGAGACTCATTGCTTTGAATAAGATTAGAATATTCTCTGCTCCTCCTTCAACCTACTTCCCGAAGGACACAGATAATTCTAGCTAAAATGTAGAACACTGAATCAGGTCATCGATTTTGTAGTCCTATCTAAATAGTACTAGGTCATATTAAATGGGACTTATTTTCTTGTCAGACGTTGTCATGATAGGGTGTCCTATTCGAAATTGATTTACAACTTATTTGCACACATATAAGGTTGAAAATCACACAAAAAATGTTCTAGAACTTCGGAAACAAAGCTCCTAACATATTTGAAAAGTATATTAAGCAGAAAAGCCAGTAAATTGAATCTATAAAGAGAAATCTAATTTCCCTTTTTATTCCACAGCTCGGGAACACACGTCACATCATGTAACGAGATTAAGGCATTCCAGACATCTAGAAGGGTACCTGCCCATACACACATCTTCCGTGAGTACCAGCATTAATCACCACACCACTTAATAAACCTCATTAATCACCATCACCACCCCGCCCCCAAAAGCTTAATCCCCATAGATTTCGTGTTATTTTAACGCTTCTTTATTTATATACAATTACTATAAATATAAATTAAACCCTAGATGTTTTGCATGACTTAATATTTTAATGGAATTATTGATATTATATATGGATGCATATACTGAACATGCTTTTAGCAGTCATGGAATAAAGTAAGTAAATTCCATTTGTATATAATAATGTTATACCACTTTTTCATAATAATTTTCGCAATTTTAATCCAAAATAAGCGCTTCCCGGAAAATATTCAGGTATTTTACACATAATACAATACTTATTTAAGTGTATTTAATTTATATTTTTGTAGATTTATTATTTTACCAATCAATGAATATTATTTTAAGTCTCGCCGTATAATAAACAAGCCATTTTATTTCAATTGTTTATTTATTTATGCCTTTCATGTTTATTTATTATTCAAATTATGTTTATTTAATTCAATAATTATTTGTTTATTTTGTGTTAATTGTAATGATAACATAAAGTACGTCATTGCATGTTGACTGTCAAAATGTATTAATTCAATTTGCTAAAAATTTTGAGAAAGCGTTGATAAATGAGTTTTTTTACTTAATTGTATGTTTGCGTGATTAGTCATTTTTTCAAGTAGACAGCATGCAATGCAAAATAATTAATGTCTAAAAAGTTTTCTTTTTTCTTTAATTTTTCGCCCACTTCTTTCAGTATAATGTATCACTTTATGAAGTTATGTCGGAGTAATTATTTCGTTTTTATTATTATTATTTATGTTGTGAGCAACATTATAAATCAAGTTAATGTCGACTTATATTATGACTTACTAACGAAGTTTCAGAAACTAATTATATAAGTAACTAAGGCACTGAGAAAATATAGAGATCACCTTATATTGGTTACTTACGTAATATACCTAGTACATAATTTGATTACTTCGCAAAATTACTTTAATAAATTGATACAAAATATACTCTAAGAAATGGGTAATAAATACCATTTTCCTAGATGTTATGTAGTGTCCCTAAATTGACGTAGAGGCATGGCCTAATACCATTTCAGTTTGTACCTGCGACGGTTCCAAAATTGGCGGTTAAAGATAACCATAAACCGCTGTTCACCGAGTGCCTGAACTACAGGCCCACTGTTAAAGAGGAACAGCCTGTAGGAACCTATGTGTTCACTGTAAGTACCTTTTTTATCTTATACTCTTATACTATTATATAAAGCGGAAGAGTTTGTTTTTTTGTTTGTTTGAACGCGTTAAACACCGAAACCACTGGTTCGATTTGAAAAATTCTTTCTGTGTTGGATAGCCCATTTATCGAGGAAGGCTATAGGCTATCAAATATCACGCTACGATTAATAGGCGCCAAGCAGAGCGAGTGAAACCGCGCGGCAGTAACAGTAGCTAGTATATTCTAAACTTCTAAAGCTTACTAAACCACCAACTTGGATAATTAGAAACAACTTGAGTTGTATTAATTATTATGTTTTTCGGCGTATTCACGTAATTATGTGACGAGGAACTCGACTAGTTTCAAGCCATGCTAGAGGCTCGTACTCATGATGCTGAAACATAATAATTAATTTAGTATGTGTCACGAAATTTATGACATAAACTTGAGTTATACATCTAAATATTAGATTTCTGGTGTCTTCAAGATGTTTATTATACGATTAAGATGTTGTAATAGTAGATTAAAAGATTTCAATTTCGAACTGACTCAGGGTTCGAAATCTTTATAAAATGTTAGATTCTGTAACATGTTTGGTGCATCTTGCTATACGAATGTTGTAACCTAAACAAGACTCAATAACATAATTATGAATAAATATATAGTAATATATACCTACAATTAAAATTGACTAAAACTAAAAAAATAATAAAATAAAACAAAAAAAAATTTAATAGGGTAGATGACTAATTTTTATTTTAATGTCTGTCTAGTAGATTATTTTAAATCATTAGACGCGTATTTTTAATTTTTTTATAGAAACGAATACTTTCGACGATCTATTAATTTGAAATATCGTGTGACGTCACAGCGTGTCACATTTTGTAGCACGTTATGACGTAACGACCTCCCACTCCTAAACTTAGCGCCATTTTATCTAAGTATTGCAACTTAATACGAGAAAATAAAAAATACGTTTCTAATATTTTTTTCATTATCTAACTGACGGACTAATTAGATTTTTAATTTTGATACCCTGGACATAACCGAATTGTCAAAAGTTTGTAAAACTGAGACTATCGAAGGCACATTACAATACATACATTTATGTGATCTAAACAATAAACAGCGTTTACAAGTTTCCTTAGCTAAACAAAAACAATCCTCTTGTTAACAATGATAAAACCTTTGAACAGTATTCAATTTTCCTTCAAATAACAATATAATTCCAAAACTGTTCAAAGGTCCAGATTACAGTAAATAAGACCCTATATTTAACGGAAGACATAAACATGGTCCGTTTAAACCAAGGGATAATTGAAACAATACAATAAATGATGCCGTAGTAAACGAAAAATACTCAAAAAACAAGATTCCTCATAGTGACTTAACTTCCGAAGGATTGAGGAAAAAATACTGTCTATCCGTTTGCGAAATCATGTTCCGATTTCGTTTGATCAATCACTTAATATTTTATGCGCCAAACGTGTACTCTTGTGTAAATATTGGTTTCTTATATCTTGCTGAATATATTTTGCTCAAAAACCGTTTCTCAATTCTCCCCTTTTATAGGTTCCGATGTGTGAAGTGTTCTTTTGTTCGTTTGTCATTGAGAAGTCACTTATTTTTATGTTTAAATAACTACGAGAGAGAGTATAGGTCTTTACAATTTACTAATGAAGATGAAGAAATAATAGTACAGTAAGTTCTAGGCGATTATTTACAATATCTAACCAGCTTGAAATTTTTAGGTACACGCAGAAGACCGGGATCCCCCAGAAATGGGTGGAACGGTCACATACAAGTTTGTCTCCACTCCTGGTGAGAAGGAGAGGTTCCACGTTGACCCTGAGACAGGGAAAATCACCACAGCCGATGTAAGTTGAACTTTAATTTGGTAGTATTAGAAGTTATTTTACATTAAGAGGTAACATTAAATAAAACATTTAACCGATAAAAATCAGGAGTGACTTATGCCTTGATGTGATTATTGATTTTTCTTTTTTCCCTGTTCATTACTTTAAATATGACAATTTTATAACTATTCACATCTTCAATAAAGCTAAACTAAGGGATAAAGAGGTGGGTATAGTTAATAATGAACTCAATAGTGTAGAAAATACTGATTGAAATGATGTAAAACAGATATTCGACCACGATGAACCGTCCAGAGAGAAAGAAGCCTACATAACAGTTCGAGCCAGTGATAACGGACAACCGCAGCTCGACGACGCATGTACCATCAAAATTCTGATAGAAGACATTAATGATAACCAGCCAGTGTTCGACAAAGTTGTAAGTATTGTTTTGATAAAGAAACATTTTGTGTGTACAAATATTTGTACACACGGCCATACATCAATGTATACAAAACCAGTTTATCCTGGCGTCGCGTCGCATCACCTTTCCGCACATTGAACGTTCAGTTTATACTGGTTATGTAAAGCTCGATGTGTAGCCGTGTGTACGTACTAGTGGGAATCATGATTAATGATAAATCTCTGTTTCTCTAGAATAGGGGTTTCAAGTGAATAAAGATTTATTTGAATGTAGTAAAAATATAAGCCTTAGATTTTTACTACGTTAGATTCTAAGGGATAGTAAGTTTGACAATGATCACAGTGTTTTTAAAACCTTTTAAAATATACTCTATTGTTTTATGTTTATTGTCTTGACCGTGTTATATATTTGTAACGTCTCTAAGCTTCCTTAATGGGTTCCTAATGAAGTCTTTCCCAATACCGTGGCGTATAGCTTCATTTTGCAGCTGATAATTTCCTCTTAATTGTGACTAATTAACTGTTCGTTCATTAGCCTCAAAACGTGGCGCAGACTATATTAACGCTTGCCTGTTTTTCAAAGGTCTTCCGTGGAGATGTTTGGAAGGTTTGTCTAAACGAGAAAATTTCACAAAAAAGAGAGAGTTACGCACAAAAATGAAATAAAATTGCAATTATAACTTGTATAATATGTATATTTGTTCGATTGGTACCATTGCTGTTGTTCTCTTTGATTTCGTAGTTACTCAGGCCATGGTACCAATCGATTGATATAATTATTTTGAAAAACATTATATTTCTGTACTTGCATGTTGCTGCATGTCTGTAATAGGACCATAAGCCGCCGCTCAAGGCGTTGTTGGTAATAATATTTTATGTGTTTCGTGTGTTCCAATACACTTTCTTTGCACATTTGTAGTTGGTGTGTTTTCTTTAGCTAGGCTGCTCTTTCCCCCTAGGCGCATTTTATCACACTGCACGATTATAATTATTTTGGAAAAACTTTCTCTAAGCTTTGGGCATGCTTCGCGTAGAACATGTCTGAATAGGTTTATATTTGATGCTATCTATAAATCTATAATGTGTTTAATAATTCATTAAAATTTGTCAAGGTATCAAAGAAGAGTGGAACACGGATTGTAAAAGCTAAAAGTTAATTCAATTCGAAGTTATCTGGATGATTTTCGTTGTAAAATTTTGTGGTGATATTAACATGGATTTTTATGTATACAGTCGTATTCCGAGTCGGTTCCACAAGACCTGCCGAGTGGGAGGGAAGTGATGAGGATATCTGCGACGGACATCGACGATGGCAACAATTCTATAGTCCATTATAGTCTGGACTCCAATTCTCCAGACCAAGCGTATTTTTTCATAGATCCGGACAACGGAGTCATATTTTTGAATAAAACTATTGATGTGAGTATTTCTTATTCGCTATTGTTCTTTTTTATTATTGAATAAAAATGTAAATACACATTCGTCGTGAAACCTTATATTGTAGCATAGATTCATGAATGTGTTTTACTGTTCAATATTTAATCTATAATTTCAATTCAGTGTTGCCATCTTTTAATAGATGTTACTTACCTATTCCCTATTAGTTTTTTTTTTATAATTGTTTAATTTTTTTTTTATAAACTTATGTTTAGTTGATGTCATTGGTATAGTAGGATCGCCTACCACGAGCATACTCTTGCTTTAAAGGTTTTCCTATTTATATATTTATTTAATTTTGTTTGTATGTAGTGTAGGTACATAATAGTTGATGAAATTTTTTTTGAATTTTTTACACCTTTTTATATTCATTTCTACAAAACTATTCAATTTCGTTTCATTTTAAACTTTCAGACACATGTCTTAATAACTCAATTTTCTTTGAATTAACAGAAAGCTCCTGGATACAAGTTTAAGTTGAGCGCCATAGTAAAAGATATGGGCACCCCGCCTCAACAGAGTTCTATAACTTTAGACATTCAAGTTGTGGAGTCCAATAAGAAGAGTCCATCCTTCATTGAAGTGCCAGATGAACCAATCAGATTAAAGGAAAATTATTCTGATTTTAATACTCCTATCGCTACCGTGAGGGCTGTGTAAGTACACCTACTGACTGAATTATTTTTGTACTAGTACCTATAACAGTTAAAACAGACGCATAGGTAGTGCGTAGCTGTTGTCATGTCGGTCATGAGTTTGATTCCTGTGTGAAATTATTTTAAGTTTTGACTAATTTGATTTCTTTAGGAAATAATTTAATTTTTGGGTTACCGGCTGTCACACAGCATGTAGCGGGTTCGATTCCCGCACGGAGCAGCTCTTTATATGATCCACAAATTGTTATTTCGGGTCTGGGTGTGATGTGTATGCACCCACGCCACAAAGAAAATCCTAGTGTAATACAGACTGCAGTCTGTATTCTGTATTTCGGTATTGTTAGTTATAAAACAACCAGTTTAAAATCAAAATTTAAATATACAGAACCTCTGCTGACCTAATTAAGAACTTATATTCAAACCAAAGTCTTAGATTGCTCATAAGATTGAGTTAATTTTTACTAATGTAACTTTTATTTGTTACTTCAAAACTTTACTATGGGTTTATAATGTGTTCCTTCTAAGCCATTTGGTGGATATAAAACCTAATGTTTTGATTGTTAGAAGTGATTTTTGAATGGGCAAAAAGGTCGTTGTAGATATGGCTGTTCTTTGTAAAGTTTGCATTGATTATGTGTGGTTTTCCTTGATGAAAAGTATTTTAATATTAATTACTATTAGTAGAACTTATTCTCAAATTAAATGTTACGAGCTGTGTAGTATTTTTTAACCGAATTCAAAAAGAAAAAAGGAGACTCTCAGTTTGTGTATCTATGTATATTTTTGCGTGGATATCTCGCGATTAGCTGAACCGATTGATGCGGTTTCCAGAAAAGTGTTTGTTACTTAGGAGGTTTTAGTATTTTGATTAACCGACTTCAACAAAAGAGAGAAAGAAAGAAAGAAAGAAAGATAAAACATATATTCAGCACCAGCCACGAGGTAGCATAAACAAAATATATAAAAGACAATAAAGGACAGGAGAGAGTTAAAGTCGAATTTTAAAAATTTGTTAAAGATTTATAGATTTTTTACAATTCTTTAGTCGCATTTCTATCTCATGTAGGTATGACAAGTAAAAAGGTAAAAGTATTGCAAACGTATGTCATCATCATCACGAGTCTGTTTTCGTCCACTGCTGGACATCAGGCTCTCCAATGGCACGTTACTGAGCTCGATCTTCAGCTCAATAATATATTTTTATAAATTATAAATATTTTTGTGATCCACAATTAGAATCTGAATATACCTCTAATGGACGTGTTTGTAAATACATCCAAGATATAGTCAGACCTCTTTGGTCATAACTCATAGCATACTAGTTCCATCTATAAAATAAAATAATATTTTACTAAGAAGCAATTTCTAACATAAAATCATCCCACAGTTCAAACATCCCAGAGGAGAAGAAGCTGCAGTTCGAGCTGGTGCAAGGTCAGACAGAACAGACCAATAAATGGCATACATTCGTGTTGGAGCCTGAAGCAGACTCCGCCTACATTAAGCTTGGTAACCACCTGGATTTTGAGAAGATCACCGATTATACGCTTACTGTTCGGATACAGGTAATTAATTATAGTTATTGATAAACTTGCCCGAAATAGAGATGATGATAAGGTATAAAAATATAAATCTAGTTGACTGCCTCTTTTGCCGAGTGGTCGCAAGTGCGATTGCCGGGCAATGGGTCTCGGGTTCGATTCCCAGGTCGGGTAAAGTATTACTGGGGTTTTTTTTTTAAATTCAGCGGTAGCATGGAGTCTGGAATTGTGCCCGGTATATGGCAATAGGCTCACTACCTATTACATGGGACTCAAAACATAAATAGTGGAAAGTGGGTATTACATTGTGTAGTGGTATTAAGTGCCGTAATGTGCACCTCTGCCTACTCCTTCGGGGATAAAAGATGTGATGTTATGAATTAGGTAAAAGAGAAATTTAGTATCATCCCTATTATACGAGATTCAATAACTCGTAAAAAGTTATATTTCTACATCTCTGTCTATCTCATTGGGGATTAAAAAGTATAAGATTATGATATAACCGTTTACGTTTCATAAAAATATTTTTGTTCCAATAACTGTACTTAATTAAAGGCCATGTATATTATTTGCGTATCATAAAAACACAAATAGATACCTTTACTAATATTTAATGACAGGCTAATTTTATTTACTCAACTTTGTTTAAACAAATAATTGACACAGAGAGTGTAAATAGTTATCAGCCTGTTTAATGCATTCTAAATCCACAAACAAACGTAGCTACAAAACCAACTAAAACCAACCATTTTCAACAGAACAATTACAAATTGGCAGCAGAAACGATAATACAAATCGAGGTTGAAGATGTTAACGACAATATCCCAATCTTCAGCGAAATAAGATCAGGAAGTGTATTAGAAAATGAGAACCCAGGCACACCAGTGATGCAGGTCCGAGCCTTCGACGCAGATGGGACGTCAGCTAACAACCAAATAACCTATGAACTTGGCGACCCATCCGACCCATTCGCCATAGACAGTATAACTGGCAACATCACAACTTTAAAAATGTTCGATAGAGAAGAAAGGAGTTTCTATAACATTAAGATCATTGCTACTGACAATTCAGAGTCTGCTCTGATACCCGGCAAGCATAACGCTGGTCAGCAAGTGTTCTTGATAGAAATAGCTGATAAAAATGACAATCCTCCACACTTTACCCAAGACACATATGTTGCTGAATCTATTGCTGAGAACGCTAATATAAATGAGCTGGTTACTGTTGTCAGCGCTTTGGATATTGATACAGGTAAGACTTAGAATTATAATGCATTAAAGTTACCTTTTATAATAGATATTGAATGGTCTTTTAATGGGATAAGCCGGTTAACGATTTAAAGGCCGGCAACGCACCTGTGACTCCTCTGGTGTTGCTGATGGTGGCAGTTGATGCGTCTGCTCGTTTGCCTCCTATTCCATAAAAAAAAGCGACAAGACGGATCACCTGATGGTAAGCAATTGGCGTCGCTCATGGACATTTGGAACCCCAGAGGCGTTACTAGTGCATTACCAGCGTTTTGGAGATTTGGAATTTGAGGACTGTTGGAGATTAAGTGATTGGGGAAGGGGCGGGGGGTAATTGTGCCTCTGGTAACCTCAATCACACGTAGTTGCGGTTAAAGAAATTGTGTTTCAAATTGGTTCACAAGTTTGGATTGTATTCAATGCAAACACAAGCAATTAAATCATACCTGATTACATTTACATAGTATATATACCGAAACACACAAACATGTTGTCGTTGGTCAAGTATGACTGCGTATGTAAGGGTTTCGGGTTCGATTCCCGGGTCTGGTACTGTTGTTGAAGATTTCTCAGTAGATACTCGGAGTTTGGTATTGTGATCAGTGGTATACGTTCACCTGTTACATTGAACATGTGTACTGCTGCTAACTTGTTCGGGGAAAAATATTTATAAAATAATTATATATAATTATACATAATCGAGTATTGTTCCATGAAATATAAAAATAAGTAATAATTTGAACAATACCAAATAGGTAGGCAAGAAAATAATTTAAATGGTATGAACGAAAGCTCTTAAAATTTTTATCATTCTCCTTTTTATAGTGTTTTCATTTTAATTTTCATGTATAGGTAACTGTAGTACTTCATTGCAATATAATTTTAAAAGGAATGAATTACAAATGAAATAAAGATTCGAATTTGAATATTAATTGTATTCATTTTCTCTTTATATTATGGTATATTTTTTAATGATTTCATTTTAATATTGTTAAAATTGAGATACGCAATAATATACTGGGGTAACTCTGTTAATAAAGATACTGTGTTTAGAGCACAGAAACAGTGTATTCGAGCAATATGTAGTATAGATTGCACAACAAGCTGTAAACCGTATTTTAAGAGCCTCAAACTAATGACACTTCCATCACTCTATATATATGAAACATTAACTTACGTCAGAACCAACAAAGATTTATACACAGTTGCTTTCAAAAGTGACTATAGGAAATTACGGGATAAAAACAGATTAAAACTCGAGGTTCGTTATGGCAAAACAGCCCTCATGAATAAAAGTTTTCTTTGCATGGCACAACTGTTATATAATAAGCTACCAGACAATGTAAAATCACTCAATTTAAATCAATTTAAAAGGACTGTACGGAAAATTCTCATTGACAAATGTTATTATTCAACAACAGACTTTCTAATTGATAAATTTTAACATTACGTATTTCTTGACATTATTTTAATATTATGTATTTCTTGACATTATTTTAATATTATGTATTTCTTGACATTGTTATTATTGTTTGTATTGAATTTGTAAACCTTAATTATTGCTTGCTATTATATTAAATCTGACAGCTTTTTCACCATATTTTGCATGCCAATAAACGGGCAAAATGTATACGGCTACTATATTATATCTGTAACAACTTATTTGTAAACACCTACATTTTATGCAAATAAATGATTTGATTTGATTTGATTTGATAAAATACTGTAGTGTTTCTGATGAACATTCAATTCTACATGGTTTTATCTGTGAAACCCTTAATCGGTATTTTTCAATAATTGTGTACAATTATAATATACAATAATACACAACTTTTATTATTTTGGTATGATTTAGTATAATGTTAACGAAACAGTTATAACTCTACATTATACTGGTAAAAGGTAATAAACTGTGGCGACTCACGTCATATGTCAAATGACAGCTCACGCACATAGATGAAAACAAATCAACGTGTGACGTCACAAAATCGTACATCGCACTTGTAAAGTTTACATGCGAATTAACACGGATAGAAAATCCCAACGAACAACTGTTGGGCATAAAGCCCGCCAGGCACGATTACCTCGCCTGGTCGGAGGATCCTCCTTTTCCAATCTTAGGGAACTTTACTCTCTGTTCCCTAAATAACAATGGTTGTTTTGCTATAAAATGTCTTTATAAAGTGTAGAACCCAATCACCAAAAATAACAAACGCATACACATTTCAAGACAAATACGCCATCTTTATTTTTTATCTGTATATTACTTAACTAATACATACTCCAATTCTTCCACAGCATCCGTAGTAACATACAGCATTGTCGCCGGTAATACATACGACGCCTTCGTCATCCGAAATTTCACTGGAGAAATAAGGGTTAACAATGAACTAGATTATGAAAACATCACCAGCTATAGCCTCGATGTCAGGGCTTTTGACGGCATCTACGAAGACTACGCCAAAGTCATCATCAATATTGAAAATTTGAACGACAACCCGCCTGTATTTTTGGCTAATTACACCAAAACTATTGAAGAAGAGAAGCTGTATGAAGGGTGTATTGTTAAGGTATGGATTTTTACTATTTTTCATGTTTACAACTGTTGGTATTGACTTGTATTATTGTTGAGACAGTCGGACTTGTATCTACTATGTTTCCGCTCCATAGAGGGCGTCAGTGTAACTGTCAAAAATTGAATGTCTTTTTTTAAATGTTGTCTAGTTTATTCGACAAAGAATCCTTTGATATACTAGCAATCCTAGCAAACTCACACGCGGAACCCTTCTTTGGATTAGGTTTCCTGGTAGGGCAAAAAGTGTTAATGGATATTTTACTTAATACTTCCATAAGCAGTCTCCAGAAATTCGGTAGTATTATAAAACGCCCAGAATCCACGTTAATCAGTCGGTAACAAGTTCGGTTATTCATCAACAAGTATTTGCACGATATTTCTTCTGGGTCAACTAATTCTTATTTATCTCCCTAGGTGGAAGCTTACGACCCTGATATCAAAGACAGGAATGCACCTCAAAACATCGTCTATTCCCTGGTTAAACATGAACAGAAAGAATTCCTTCAAATCGACAACGATGGTTGCCTTCGTCTCACCAAGCCTTTAGACCGCGACCAGCCACTAGGTTTCACAAGATGGCAGATTTTAATCATGGCCGCCGATCATGGCGGGAGATTGGGTTCTGACAGCTTGAGGTCAACGACCGAAGTCATTTTGGAGCTCACCGATATCAACGATAATGCACCGTTTTTGACTAATGTAAGTACTTAAGTGATTTTTTTTAAATTACGTAAATAATTTTTAGTTTCGTGTATTGCAGTTTGGATCTCTATCTGTTATAGTGAACTGTCCAATTTATATTTTATGAAATTATTAAGTTATTGTGAATAATAAGTTTTAATATTAATAAGTTGTAATATTAATAGAAAAGTATCTTTCGGATCAGCTGATTGTAAATACAAGACGGTTTGTTCATTAAAAGCAGGGGAAGTCGCGAACTCGTAATTAATTTATTACTAAGAATCCTTACTGAAACAATCAGTACCTATGATTACAGAAAATTAAAACCCAAATTTGATTCTTATATTCTAAATGCTCTAAAACTAGTACACAGCACAGATAATAAATAAGTAAAATGGCCGTCCGAATAAACGTAATAGTCTTCCAGCATATTTCATTATGCCTACCCTGATCGGATGATTGATGGTGCGGTTGATAGAGTATGCATAGACAAGTGGAAGAACCAACTATCTATCATATTGGACGTTGAAACAATACATAATAATGCTTAAGAGGACTTGACGCGTTTTCCTTATAATATTTACCAGCAATACTATGTAACATGTAGGTATAACATTTCTATTCCGGGAATATCAGACCTCACCTTTTTCAATACGTAAATGTCAAATGTTACCGGCATGTAAGAATAGTTTTATCTGTGGTTTAATGTCCTCAGACTACGATAGTTACGTTTGACCAAATAGGTTGTATATCTGTTTTTAAACTGCTCGTAGATAAAGATGTTTATTAAAACTTTACAGTTTTTTAAACTAAATGTGTGTTTAGCACACAATAAACGTTTCCAAGTAAATAGCACATATACAGCCCCATTCATTTAGTTTAGACTAACCTAACCTAAACTTTACGACTACGGTTAAATAGGTATCTTCCCAATAATTACAACTAGAGAATCTATTACTATTGAAGTTATTTCAAAGTTTAATGGAACCGTAACTCACTGGTAAGTGGTGCTAACATTTCACTGGACATTTTAAAAGATACCTACCGGTAAATTGTAGCATCAACGCTGGAGATTAGCAGAAACTATTATTGTGATCATTATAGACGGATTATACGGCACTTGGATGAATATATCTGCAATTAATATGTCCGATTTTACTTCTATACTTTTCAGTACAGTGTTGCATTGCTTTATCTATTTATTTAAATAAGATTATTACATTGTCATGTAATCAATTCCTTTTGTACATCACGCCTTTTATCCCCGAATTAGTAGACAGAGGTGCACATAACGGCACTTAATGCCACTGTATAAAGTAACACCTACTTTTCACTATTGATGTTATGAGTACCATGTAATTGGAGGTGAGTCTATTGCCATATACCGGGCACAATTCTAGACTCCGTGTTACTACTGAGACTTTTTTGCAAACCCTGTAACCCTTGCCCTGCAGTCGCACTTGCGACCACTCGGCCAATGAGGCAGTCCCTCCTTTTGAGAAGTCTTTAATTATGATTATAAACCACTACTAAAGGATATTATGAACAAATAACTGGGGTTACATATAGAAATCTCATACAACTTAAACCTTACAATTCAATAGGACCCCAATATAATCGAAACGAATCTTCGCAAAGAATATTACCTATTCTCATTATTTTTTATCGAAATTGCTGAATAATGACACCAATTTCGGTCCCAAAAAACTGTCCTATTTTATAGTATTATCGTGCCATTCAACAATTACTATCGCGAGATTTATCTTGGCATAAATCTTCTACATTTGAGCTAGATTCCTTTAGAAATGTGTTTGTGTAGGATGGGTCGACATTTGTTTAGGCTTATGTATGATTAATATCATGTTCCCTAAGGGAGGGAATGATCATTCGTATATCAAACTTGCAACGTGAACAGTATTGTTTAGATATTTATGATGGTGCTAGCGTGTTTGTGACTTAGCTGTGGAGGGCTGTTTAGGAACGCTTGTGCTGAAGTCCTAGTAAGACTATTATTATTGTGGTGTGGGAGAGACTGTGGTAATAGGTTCGGGTACTAAAGTTTTGTTTAATAGACAAAAATTATTAACGTTGTTGAAAAGCTATAGTTTAAACAAAAATCTAGATGAGAAATAAACGTAACGTTATTATTTTCGTTTTTATAAAGCATTTTCGCAACACCAAGTATGAAATACTTTTTCTACACGATCTTTCTAGATCCAGCTTTAAAACTTTTGAGTATAATCCTGTATTAAATGATAATCCAAACCCATAACTCATTTAAAAATCCAAAAGCGAACCGTTTTACGACCATTGAATTAAACAGAAGCGTTCTAGCCCTCATATCCATATTCTAGCTAAAACCGGGAGCCACGGCAGCTTATTTTGAATGCGGCCATCCGGTCCGGCTGATCGGCAACGAATGCCGGATTAAGCTCCAATGTTATCTGGCGCCGCAGGATCGTTTGCTCAAAGAATCTGTGGTTCGTTTCTGTCAGCGTTTATTCATTTCGCGATAACGTCACCTTACTAAGCATTATCTATGGCTTAGGGAATGTTAAGTCGGGTGATTCTTGTGTCGCTTTGTGATTTTCTACAATGGAGTTGTGTGGAAGATTAATTTGGCTAATTTGGGGGAGATTTTCGGATAGATGGGTTCGCGTTTGTTCTTTATTTTTTGGTTTGTGGCGTGATTTTTGTAGGCGTGAAGTAAGTTAGAAGGTGATTTTTTTCCGTTTTGTGAACTTGTTAACGATATTGTGTAGGGACTTACGAAGCGAAGAAAGCCTTTATAGAAGGTGGAGGTTTCCTTTTATTTACTTATTCAGGCATGCTGCTATGTTAGGCTCTGTACATAAATAGGTATACAAGACCCTAACCCTATAAAGAGTTAATCTAGTCTTGGCAACCACCCAAAAATATACACTAAGGACCAGAAAGGACATCCGTACCCAAAGGCCACGAAAATATCAATTATTTTGTAAACCAGCTAAGAATATATGTTCTTATTTTCATTTCGTAAAAGAAACCTTTTCCATATTGCCAATAAATCAGCTAGGTAGAGTAAGGTACCTTCGTAAACGGCCCGTTACATTATATTATGTAAATTTGCCGCCATTTTTCTATCTTGTGTGTTTGTATGTCTGTCATATAGAGGCCTTTTGATGGGGGTAGGAATGTAGTGTTTGTATTCCCGTGGACATTCGTCTACTTTTTGTATGGGATCTGTATGAAAAGATTGACTGAATGATGGTATATTTCTTACTGAAAGATGAAGGAATTTGATGTATTAAATGTGGTGGTAGCTGAAGAAATATGAAAGGGTATCTAGCAGGCGGTGTTAACTTAAGTATGAATTATGAAATTTTGAGATAGATCTTGGTCTTACATGATTAGAACTTGTTAAATTCTCATTTTAATGTGTGTATGGTGTGGATTATTGTTGTTATTTTCTTTTCCATAATTCTCAAATTGGATTTTATTTTTAAGCCACTGTTAAGCCTATGAATTGCCAATGCTATGTACGCCATTATTGTCGCATGCATACCTTTATTTTATTACTATTGTGTATTTTGAATGTTATATGTTTGTGATGTGGCCGTACTCCTTAGAATAAATAAATAAATAGATTTGATTTTGAAGCGAAATTGTTGCCATATAAATATATGTGGTGTGTAAGTGTAATAATAGGTGTGAATACACCACCAGTTTAGTACAAAATATTAACTTTATGATTGTTAAGTCGACAAATTTACCACTTCAAGTAAACAAAAAAACTAAATAGTCCCATGTCCATATCACACTAATTCGTTGCCCTCCTAGGTGTAGTAATTAAAATACTCGCCAACAAAAAGGTATCGCCTTTAAAGAAGACCCAAGTAAAAGATGGAAACTTTTCATAAACGTTTTTTTATCGGATTATGGGCATTCAATAAAACTGAACGAAATTCAATTAACACACAACTTTTATAACAGTTTGATTTACTTTCGCGAAATGATTATACCTTTCGATAAATTTTCTGTCATTATTTTTTAATCGATTTTAATATCTCTTACAAATTGAGCCTGATATGAGTTCCTTTTTAATTATACTTATTCGATATTATAATGAAATTAAAGTGCTGTGTCTTTTCATTGAAGCATTGTACAAGGCGTACATAGGCCACGGTAACCGCTTACCATCAGGTGGGCCGTGTGCTTTTTTGGTATTAAAAAAAATAATATTGTGTTTTACTACTCCACCGCCTAACCCTTGGGGGATAAAAAGGCGTGATGTTATGGATGGATAAAATTGTATTTTACGTATTATTAACTCATTAATTTAAATGACCTTAATTTCAAGTGTAATCATACGAATAAGTGTCATTTGTTTACTAAGAAGGTAACAGAGTTAGAAATCATGCTTAAAGCATTTTATTGATAAGCTACATTTTTTATACTTAATGGGCCGATGTAATATGACCACTATATCGCCTGGTGATAAGCGATGATGCGGTTTATGATGGGTCTCGTCGTCCCATAAGCAACCTATTCACTTGAGCCTTGTAGACACCCAGGTTATACCCTCCAGGCCATACAGACTCTGGCAACGAATTCCACTCCTTAGCAATATGCACATTATTTCAAAAACTTGTATAGATATCCTACAACGGAGATTCGTCGCTAACAAAGATCGCAATCATACCGAAACGGAACAACATAATTTATTTTAGAACACAAGATAAAAATGTGCGTCGAAAATCAAAAACACGTATTCACATCGCAGATAATTTTCGAAACTCACAACCGAAATAAAAAAGAGCAAAAACGTGTACTCTTCCTTCTTTCCACTTAAATACAAACTCGCATTGGGTAGGCCCAGTTGTCAATTTTTTATGCAAATCTACTAGGTACCTATGGATGTTCAATTTCTTATTTTGGATTGCGATCCTTTGGTCCTATAATCCACGAAGGGTTGCTCTAATTTCCATTTCGGAGATCCAAATGGTCCTCAGGAGAGCTTTGGACGAAGGAGGTGGTCATGTGACGGCACGACTCGTTGACGTTTTCTGGATAAAAAGGTTTTTATTCAGATGTGTTTATCAGTGTTTTTAAAGACGATGTTTGGGAATTTTATGTAGGCATCTATTCCATTTAATACATATTTATGCATCTTTTAAAAGGGTGGTATTTAATTCTATACCTAAATTCCCTTTATTTAATCAATATATTCGAAATTTCTACCAAAAATACTGAATTGCACCCTAAATTTGCTCATCAAATAAATCAATTATACTATACTGTTAGATTTTACTTTTTCTATTATACTTTTAACAAACTTCAATGTTTTTTCCTGTTTATATTTTCCGTTGACATAAATAATATTAAAATTACCTATTACTAAATTAATAATAAAATATATACAACTTAAGATTAAAATTATATAAAAGAAAAACAAAAAGAATTATTAGATTTACTTTCTTTCTAATAATTCTTCGAGAGCAACAAGAACCTAACCTAACCTAATATTGAACAATTTCTTTCAAATCAGTATTTTTGTTTTACGGTTCATTTTTTTGATGTGCAGAAGGTTAGTGAAGAAGTTTGGTTTGCTTAAATTTCTAAATAGAGGTGCAGTAAAAAATTCCCCCTTTTAAAATATAACATTTTTGTATAAAAGCAGTTATACATATATCTACATGACTGTAACATTTTGAAAAAGATTTTTCGCTACTTTTTTGTATAAAAGCAATTATACATATATCTACATGACTGTAACATTTTGAAAAAGATTTTTCGCTCTACGTTTTATTTAAACCAAGCGATTTTCGTCGAAAAATATGGTTCGTCGTTCGATACAACGAATATTTCGACCAAAAACCCGAAACGCGAGACCGATATTCATAATAATAGTATTATATTCCCTTCGTAAAGCTTAGTACTAAAGTTACCTCGTATTTTGAAGTACCTTTTTCGGTATTCTGGTATTACAACGCGTTTTCTAATACAATATCTTAAGCCGCAAGGAATAATGTAAGAAAATTTATTCTCCTGTTTAATATTCGCTGGGTTCATTGGGATATCGGAAGTATTTTTTGCCATATTATGCATAAATACATATAAGAATAGCCGTGTGATAAGAACAAAGTTATATGAAGAGGCTTGCAAATTTTTTCATAACAGAAATTTCGATTTTTTAATTAAAAATGAATTTATTGGTCCGCGAAAATGTTGCATGTTGTCCTCGCCAGATGTCGGACGTGACAGTTTTAAGACCGGTTTTTTGAATGCGTCTGATTTTCACGACAAGAGTGAACCATCTGAAAAACCTCTAATAGTGAAATACCTAAATGTTGAATTAGACACGTAGACAGATTCACACTGCAATACTTACGAAACATCTTAAGTTTTTCTACTACAATATAATTTATATTTACTTACTAACAATTTTTTTCCCTACAGACACAGCCCGTTATTTGGTATGAGAACGAGCCCCCCGGCCAGGTTGTGATCCTGACTGCGAAGGATTACGACTCAGCTGAAAATGGCCCACCTTTCACCTTCGCGCTAAACGAATCCGCGTCATTTGATATTCGCTCCAAATTCCATATACAAGGTAAGTCTAAGATGATATTAAATTGACCTAAATCAAGTTCCGCTAAAAGAAACCCCGTCTCTGTTACACCTTTGTGTATATTTGTCTCTTTCACTTAGGTTAGGAGTGGCTGTTAAAAGTACTGATTTGTCCACACCTCAAATATTTGATTTTTAGTAGCCTTAATACTATAGCACTAAAGACTATTTCCGTGTACAATAGATATTTATTTTAGTTTAATGTCGAAATAAGCATGTTTTGGATGTATCAATGGCTTGATTGTCAGTCGTAGACTAAAATTATCGTAGCTTTGAAAGTTTATTGAGAACATCGATTGTGCTCTAAATAGACAACGTTATTAGTACATTGGCTTCGATCAACAGAGTTGTTTTATATTTTTATCAGGTTCTAGATGTGTATGGATTTGATCGTTAGGAAAAGTATTAAGAGTTTATCGTAGATGAAAAATGAGCGAGCAAAATCATTCACCGAAATCCGAAAAATATGTTTCGAGCCAGACCTCCCACAATGGAGCAATTGACACAAATTCCACTAAACTCGTAGTGACGGGAAACTTCCTCGATTCGTCTTTGGAGCAATTCCATTTCAATTCAGCGGCACCCATTCGCGAGCGCTAGAAATTTTCCGAGAGTCGCCCAAAATCGAGTTTCGATCAATTAGTGTAGTTAACATGCAATAAATGGCGTGCCAAGCCTAAGTCTAACTTTGTTTGCGAAGTGCCAATTCAATTTTGGTCCTCTCCATTTGGGTTCGCGTGTTTATAATTTTGTATATTCTCTATATACAGTAAAAGATTCGCTTTTTAGTTTGTTCAACTGTCGAAATTTTTGCAGTTAGTTGATTGTGAATCGTAAAGAACTGAGTTGTTTTATGAACATAAAATAGACTTTATAATGACTTAGTAATTTATTGTCAGCCAAGTTAGATTAACCGGTCTCAGTCATAAATTATTTATTGACACATGATGACGTGAAAATTATGTATTGTTAGTTAGTAATTTCCATAAAACCTAGCTCTTTGTTTGATTGTCTGTCTATCTAAACACACATTTTATTCCGAGTGACGATTCTATAGACGGCGCGTATGCTCATTAGTACTTTTCCAATAATAATAGTATTTGTACTTTGTCATGTCATTGCTATAAATTGTTTAGCTTTTTTTGTAAATTACAAGTGTATATTAGAGTTCCATTAAGCTAACGAGTATAAAAAAATCGTGATCGTTACTTCTTTAACTGAAGTAGGTCGTAGATTCCACATATGTACGTTCAATGTCACGTGGCAACTAATCTTGACGCTAAAATGAAACAACTTACAAAGTTTCTTTCACTCAATTATAAGTTTGTAGAAAATAAAGTTTAATTGGTTCTCAAAGATATTATTTCAGTTTGAACAGACATGCTACTTTTAGCTTTAATAATGAACTGATTTTAGGCTTTTTTCGTCCTAGATTGAGGGCAAATTTACGTGTTAACATTAATGTTTAATATCAACTCTTCATAATTCTTTACCAATAGTTACTGATAATTAATTAGATCCTTTATCAGATGCTTACGACGCAAGGACTCTTATAGTTAAAACAATAAGTACAAGATATCTAAGTGTTTAGAATAGCTACTTATTGATAGACTACTTTAGAGGCCATTTTACGAGCCTTTGATCTATTTAATAATAGGTTCGAACCTCATAGCCGAAAGTCTATAAAAAGTCAGTAGACTGGCTATAACTATATTACTGACTAATGTAGCGAGGTAGACTTCGTCTAAGTTGAAATTGTTAAACTAGGTCTACTGTCGAGCTCCTATAAGCTGATCAATGATAGGTGTAAATCATCAAGTAGCTGTCAGGATTATAGACTACATATCATAGACAATTGATTTACTATAGTAAGGGTATGTCAAAAAGAAATATGGCTGATGACTCTATTAAGGTATTTGAAGATTAATGTGGCGAATGATTTAGATTTTATGCGTGGTCTATGTTTTGGTGTTGATTTCTTATTCTTCGTTGGTCAAGGTTTGCAGGAACGATTATTCTGATTAAGTCCCCAGTTCGATTCAATGATGTTATTAGATCACATAATAGGGTAGATGTCCGTCTGGTACATTCATTTAAATCAATAGACACGTATTTTTTAATTTCTTACAGAAACGAATACTTTCTACAAAATATTGATTTGAAATGTCGCGTGACGTCACTTCTATGTACATTTTATACGTAGAAATGACGTTTTAGCCCCTGCTCTTCAACTTTGATTCGTTTTATCTAAATATTGTTTTATTATACGACAAAATAAAAAATACGTGTCTAATATTTTTTCATTACCTAACTTACGGACTAATTAGATTTTTAATTTTCATACCCTGTCATCATCCCAATTGTGAACTCTTAATGGGTAACACGTGGGCCCGATTTGTACACCATTGTTATTATAACCTGTTTCTGGGTATTTCATCAATCTCCATCCATTGCTGGGTAAAACCCGTTCCGCTATGGATATGTACCCAGTGTTTGTTAATAATATTTAATAAGCTAGTGTAGATTAATAACATAACTAACATATTTTTTTTCCACAGGCAACATCCTATCGACCCTCGTATCTTTCGACCGTGAACAACGCAAAGAATACAAGATTCCAGTAGCCATCACTGACTCCGGTACTCCTCGACTGACGGGCGTCTCCATCCTTCATGTGGTGATCGGAGACAAGAATGACAACCCCATGGCACCAGGACACAGCGACATCTTTGTTTATAATTACAAGGTATGTGACATTTCAAAGCTAAAACCTTTTTAGTCGAACTAACTTTTTTTATTTTTTTTTATAGCTTTGTAATTCGAATGTGCAGATATTTTTTTATTTGACCACATTTTGTTTCGTTATTTCGAATCTAGAATGTTTCGGTAATAGAGGATTTTTATTTACATCGTCGAATTTTTTAGTTTCCCTACCTTTGCCTCGAGTAATGTAAATATCATATTTCTATTAGAAATAGTAAATACACCGGAAAAATGTTAAAGGCTTTTGATATTTACCTACATATTTAAAGGCCAATTACATTCCGAATAAAGTGGCCCTACAAAGGCCAAAAAAGATTTCTGATCCCTTCAGGGACCATCACATATTTCCTTTGAGCCTCCGAGTAGACCTTTTAATATCGTTCACCTAGTTTCCTGGTTACGTTTAATTTAGCGTAAAGTTTTTATTAATATGTACATATTTTTTTATTAAATTTGACCATCCAGTACAGTTAGAAAGCTGATATTCTCGATGATATAAAAAATATTGGGTTTATTTTACATCGAGATTGTCACCCTGCATAGAATGACTAAAAATAGAAATTTGAAATTAGAAAGCTTGTATTGTTAGCGCCATTCCTGTTTTTTATTTCCATTGTTAGAATTCCGAAAATGGAACGTTCGAATTTATGGTTCTTTTTTGTTCTGTGTAGTTTTTTTTTCTTTACGTTTAGTTAGTTCTCACTTTGACAGTTTTTCTTGTGCATGTAACTCTTGATGAATTTAATTAACAAAATTGTTTTCTCTAATGCTATCAGCCGGAAACGTACTTCAATGAGATATTATACAGTTGGCGGTATTATGTGAGTATAATGGCGTTATAGTTGTTATTTTTGTGTTTCCTTTGCTTCACGTTCTGTTTTTCTTCTACACTTACTATCGAATTGTATTGGATGGTATTTGTTTCATGGTATCGTTCTGTTTTCTTTGGTTTTTGTTTAATTTGTTTCTCTTTAATGCTTCCTAGGTAATTAAGAATTTGTTTCCTAAGCGAGTCCTTTTGATATTGATAAAATTTGTTGTATCATTAAAATGATATTGATAAATAGGACCAGCAAAACATACTTATATAAAATCAAACCCTAATTGAATACGAATTGATTATCGCGCGACATTCAAATCGATTCAACTATCGAGAACATATTTTGTCAATTATGATTTATAATTAATTAACTATGTGCCAGGCCGACTGTTCCGCGATGATTATTGGCAAATCCAATTAACGGGCCAGCCGTTAAGTGACGCATAATAACAATATGATTTCAATTGGCTGTCGGATAATTCGGTTAATTGATATAAAGCATCGATTTTAGCACCAATTTTGATATAACTGGTATAGAATTTGTGGTTGCGTGTGATATCGAGACGTTGAAAATCGGGATTGGAACTTGGCATCTTAATTGACAAGTTGAATTAGTGTAGGGGGCGCTGTTGTGTTAAATATGGCGGGCTTTCAATTATAACGTTTCATTTTACGCAGTAAGTTTTTTTAGTCTGTAAATTTTACTTTAATGTTTAAATTGCTGATTAATTTATAGTGTTTCTGGTTCAACCTCAGGTTATTCATGGAAATAATTTATTGTTGATACAGGAAATAACCTTATTGAAACAGGAAAGTAAAACAGACTCTTTAAGTTACCTTTGATTAAAAAACTAGTACTTACAATCACTTCCTCCCTAAATTCCAACAAAGACACTATTTATTGTGTAGATACGGACGTACATACAGACAAAATAATCACGTACCAACATATTTCTCTACGCCCAATTTCTGCAGCACCTTTATTTGTTAAACGATTCCTAAAATATTTGTTTCTTCATACAATTTGTATTCTGTGTTAGTAGAATACATAGAAAACTTACTCGCTTTGGTATAGTGGTTGTATTTGCCACTGTTAAATTAGCTACCGGGTTCGATTCCGGATTCTAAAAATTTTTTAAAGGAGTATTTGAAAAACGGGATACCTATGTTAGACTATATCACGGAATAACCTAACGTTTGTATAGACTGATGACTGACGTAACGTCAGTTGGCGTAAGATACATGATTAGCATACAAACTTATACTAGAAGTACAGTAAGTAAGTACAGTAAGTAAGAAGTAAGTAGTAAGTAAAGATGGGGCCCAACAGGGCCGATGCCAATTTGGAGTCGCGGAGAACCTAACGGGTAACCGGGGCTCCGGCTCGACGTGCAGGAGAAGGAACGGGGTGGTTTTTAGTCAGTAGGAGTCTGACACTCCCTCCCGCCTCACCCAAGCGGGAGTAGTCATTCGATGATTTTCCCCCCTTAAAAAAAAAATTAGTCCAAATTCAGTTCTTAAGGATATTGCTCATGTAATGCCCGATAATACCTAGTCTATAAGACTTACACCACATAATCCGTTGTAGTTGCCTTTACAACCACTAAGCCGTATTATATACTAGTATATATAATACGGCTTAGTGTATATATATATATATATATAGTAAGGCCTAGGCCTTAAGACCCTAAAACAATCACAAAAAGTGAAAAACGTCCGAAAACGTCGTACAAAACGGGGTTGAACGATAATCCACGAACAGGCTAACAATATTACCGATATTTTGTCTCCTTAAATGAATCCCCGTTTAATAGACCTATCTCAAAGTGAAGGTCCAACCGTTTAAGGTACAGGTAGGGTACATTATAACCCACATTCTCCAGTACCTTTGTTTACCTTTAATTCAGCGGTTTCCCCTCAAATGAATTATCAAGTCCACAGATTTAACATAACCTATAAACGTTAACGATTATGTACCTGTTTTATAATAATATATAGCTGTTAAAATGTTAATTTTCCGCTTTAATGAAACTCAGTTTAGTACGGTACCTATAAACTTGGATTATGTGGGCGAAGGCACATTTTTACGGCTGTGCCCTGATTTTCTTTACGTGCATGCTGGATGTGGCATCGAGCTGACGTCTCAACTTTAAATAAGGGTTCAGAAATGTGTCAAGAGATTAAAATGAGGGTTTAATACGTAAAGTGATTGGGAGACCATTAGCAGGCCGTTGGTTGAGTGTCCGTTTGATCCAAGTATAGGCCACTCAGGACGCTTTTTAAAATTTAAGAATATATCAGTCCTTTGATATTATATATGTGGTGTTTTATTCTTCTTAATTGTAGGTCGGCTTTTGTTTTAATTTGTATGGTATTTGTGTTTCTTTCTTTTGAGTGTGGTGGATTATAATTTTCTTTCTTATTTGTTAGTATAATACGACAGATTGATGTAGAACTTAATGAGAATATTTGCAAAGTCAAAGTAGAATCAAATATTCATTAAGATTAGAATATCTTTAAATTGTAAGAATAAATTGCTACGGAAGAATTGTAACAATCGTAGCAATTGGCGATTCACAGTCTCTGCCTACCCCCATGGGTACCAGGCGTGAGGTTATTTATGTATCCTAAATTCACTACGATGTTAAAATAGTAGCTGTACAAGATAGCCTTAAATGTTTAGCCAATTTGCAAAATTAGCACAAAACTACGTAAACAAAATTATGCAAACCAATTTTTTAACCAAGTTAAACCTCATACGTAGGTATTAACTTTAAATAGGACTACATATTTACATTGACAAAAAGAAAAAAGGAATCTCCATGCACGCTGTACGTTGTACGCAATCTGTGTGAATCAAGCGAGATTCATTTAAAACTCCGAGCTTAATGAAGGCGACTTGCCACAAACACGCTTATGCCGCGTTCAGTACGTGTGCTACTGGAATCCAGTTACTTGAATGTTGATTAAAAATATTTAGCTGCGGCAAAGTTTGGGAGTATCTAGTTTGGCTTGTAAGTTAGTTTAGCAGATTAAAAAATAGTAAAATTCAAGTGTAGTACTTAGTTATTCGTTGCCTTTTGCATGTGTCGTTTTGAGCATTATGAGAGTTTAGGAGAAAAAAAAATGCCAATTTTGAATTCTCTAGTTGCAGTCCAAAGCTATAGTTTATGGTTAGTTTTAACTTTTAAGTTAAAACAGGAATATTTGTACTTAATTATGTGGCAGAAAATCAACATTTTGAACATAAAATTTTTCCTGTCACTCCTCCAGTTATCCAGTCATCTCTATCATTCTAGTCGAGTAACTGACCACTGGTACAAATGGGGCTTTGTCTCGTGTTCGTTTTAACGATCGGCTTACGTCAGTCCCTTATAAACCAGGGATTGACCAAACTCCCAGCAACTTTTAGAATAGCCCCCTACGCCATGATTGATTTGTTACGATTTAATTTTACAAAATTAACTGCCTACTAATGTTGTAGGTAAATGCTCAAGTTAATATTATTTACTGAATGAAGGGATGGAATTTTTCACAGAGACAGATAATACTTAGGCTAATTTTTATTCCAGTAATGGTCAACTGAACAAGTTCTGTCACTACAAGTTCTTTGTAAAATGACAGTGATTGTATTATATATAAATACAATTTAGAATTAATAGTAATTCAGAATTCAGGCGTAATTCAGCTGAAGCCGCTAGCAGAAGCTACTATTACATAATGTAACATTATACCTAAGCCTGCAAAGCGTAGGCTGAGATAATATAATATATATAATACACCCACTTCTAATTCGATGTTATTACGTATTCCTATTGTCATAGATGGCTAGACTCTCGACAAACAGAAAGCACTTCGAACTCAGTGTAAATAATAAGAATTTTTAATGTGGGAAACCTAATACCAGACAGAAATAGCTATTATAATAGGTATGGTCAAAGGTTAAAAGTCGCCTTACGGTGCCATCTTACGGTGGCAGCGGACACTGTCATTCTTGCAACTAAAAACCAAGGGTCAAAATTAGGCTATTGCCAATTACAAGCAACTGAGTTTAACACCAAATTGTAATTTAAAGTTCCAGTTAAATGAAGTCGACGGTTTGGAGTTGCTTTAACTATTTTGGTTAAATATTTAACTTGCATATAACGTGGAAAGGTTTTCGCTCGGGTAGTGCGGTGGTTATTAAGTAAAATTAATTGTTGTTCATTATTTACGTAGGGATTACCGTTGAAAGGTAATTACAGTGACAGGTACACTGAAAATAAGAATATAATTTTCTTTTGTGTAAAATTGTTGAATTTTAACCTGGATAAGCAATTTGTGTATGATACTGGATATTTTCCCGTTATTTGCATTTATGTAGTCATTGTCTAGTGAATTCATTCAACTTGTATCTTACAATAAAGTTGTATAGTTAGTGTCCCTAGACGATTAACTAATTCACCAAAAACGGTTTAGCTATTTAAGCGTTAAGGCGTGACATGAAAATATAATAATCGAAACTTATCCTACTTACATATTTTTATAGAGATGTTGGTTAAGCTAAGAAAACTGTCTCCATCACAAACTTGATTAATTATTTCTTATCTCAGCTACTCAATTAAAAATTGAACTGTTTATTATGCATAAATGATTAAGTTATCTGTAAGTAAAGTAAAGGGCTCACATTTTGCGGGTCCTGGATAATTAACAAATGAATTGGAAAATTACCGGTCCGTACTCGAATCGAATAAAATTGCTTTTAATTAGCTATCGGCGATCGTTATTATTGAAAGTAAGCGCTTTGGGAGCGTTTTATAAAAGGCATTGGTGAATAAATGCTTCGTTATTGAGAATGTTCTTGAAACAGTATAGAAATAATTAACTTTTTGAAATTAAACGGGTATTTCAGAGTGTTGTTTTACGGGGTACGAAAGGACAAAGCGCCAAGATGAAGCTTTTGATCTTGAAATCAAAGTAACGTGGTAAAAATAACCTCTAAATTTTCGCCATATTTAATTAATGTAACACCCACTTTTTATGTTAGGTATGTTAAGTGCAAATACACAGTTTCCAATATCATAATATTTTCCGACACGGCTGAGATTTTCCGATCAATGAAATATGTCAAAGTCAAAGTTAAAGTCAAAATCATTTATTTCAATTAGACCAGGAAGGCACTTTTGAACGTCCGTCAAAATATTTAAATATTAAATAATAAGAAAAAAATGTCAGTCTGTAGGTCAGTCTTCTAGTGAAGCTATGTTGAAAGTTTTTAAAATTTGATATAGTTTTTTGGTTAGCAAGTTCATAGTTGGTTGTAATAGTCATTCAGACGAAAGTTAAATCTTTTTGTTCCGCCGCGGACAACTTAACGGGTTGCCGGGGCTCCGGCTCGAAGTGCAGGAGTAGGAACGGGGTGGTTTTTAGTCAGTAAGAGTCTGACACTTCCCGCCTCACCCAGGCGGAGGAAGGAGGGATAAATAAAAGAAAACTTTTTTGTTCAAGACCTGTGATAGTTTTTATTCATTATTTTTCTGTTATTTCTCTTTTATATGTCTCGTTTCGTCGTCTTATTTGAGTTTCTTGATTTCTTTGGTCGTTTTGTTCTTTAAAGTTAATTGTTTTAGTGGCGTGCGTACTTATTGTGTCAATAGAATTGCTATGTATTTTAATTTGGGTGCACGACAGAGCACCGCCAAGTTCGTTGTTTATTTAACGCAGATATAAAATTATTATTATTTATGTATTTAACTTTAATTTATTTTAACAGGGTGAAGCTCCCGATACAGAAATTGGTCGAGTGTACGTCGATGACCCTGATGATTGGGACTTGGCTGACAAGCGGTTTATGTGGCTGCCGTCATATGAACAGAGGAGTCCATATTTTGACATCCATAGCAACACTGGCATGATCACCATGAAGGAGGGAACGCCTAATGGCACTTATTTGTTGAGATTCAATGTGAGTATTACGCATTTCCATTAATTGGGTACTTTTCTTAATCAATAATAAATTACTTCGACTGTTCAATACAATAAAATATTAAAAAATAATCACACTTTCATCAATTGATTTTATTATCAACTTCATTTTAGCATTTTTCCAGCAATTTTTTAAGAAATAAGTACGCTGTTGTACGTTGACGCTAAAAAAAAACGTGACGTCACAATACACAATTACAGAAAACTGTCGTTTTTGACAGTTCGAAAAAAGTATTGCTTTTGATTAGTTGTCAAATACTGTGTTATATTCTTTTATTTAAGGCTCAAAATGGCAAGGTGTTGTTTTAAATCAAGTTCGATCTACTTTGTTGATGTGCGGGTGTGAATATTTAGTTTACAAGTGTGGGTTTCAATTCTGAGGAAAATTGTAATTTAATAATTCTAAGTATACCATGTTTTTTTCGGCGATTGATTCCCCTATTATTTTGGACTTATACGGCATCCAATTAGCTGATCAAAAATTGATTCTTATTAGTCTATTCCTACCTACTTCTCCGCGATATAAGAAGCATGATCTTACGTAATAATACTGATTGGCCTATTAAAATTCTACGCATAATTTGGGCGGAAAAATTATGATACGAAAATATTCAAGGGAACTTGACAACTTTTTGTCCTTTAATTTCGTCTAAATTTAGCGTAAAAGTAATTAGTGTTTCCTGAAGTATTTCATTTAGTGGGAACCTAATTTAAGGAAATTATTTTTATAGATTGAGTCGAGGAGCTGGGACGCTTGAGACGTTATTAAAGTTGTTGTAGAAAGTACTTCTAGTTTAATTATGACTTAAAACTGATATAGTTAGTTAAACTAATAATATTGGTGATGTTAATACTATTTTAGCTATAAAATTTTGCAATAGCTCGTAAAATTTTGATACAAAAAGTTTTGTTACAATTACATGTGTCTCATCATCATCATCAACAGCCTATAAGTGCCCACTGCTGAGCAAAGCCTCTTCTCACACGAAGAAGGTTTGAGCATTAATCACCACGCTTGCTCAATGCGGGTTGGCGATTTCAAACTAATAATTAGAAATTATTAGCCCAGGTTTCCTCACGATGTTTTCCTTCACCGTTTGTCAGTGGTGTCTAAATAACCTTAGAAAGTAAATATAACTCGAAAAAAAGTCACATTGGTACTTGCCGTTGTTGTCTCAACAATCAATCGAAGCGCACGTCTCAACCTCTGGGCCACCACGACATGTGTCTGTGCTTTTCGAAAATCAAAAACACTACCTTGGCTTCCAATCCTAAAGTTGTGTTTAGGCTGGAATCTCAACCCATCATCAGCAGTCCGAGACAATCTCTTACTAGACTAAAGGCCTTTAGCAATTATATACCACCCTAGACCGTTATGCTAAACAATTTATTTTATTCCAGGTGACTGAAGAAAACGAACCTCTGGTACCGTTCCACTGGGTAGAAGCGACTGTGAATGTGACCATCAAAGAGATACCAGAAGAAGCAGTGGACAAGTCAGGGTCCATTCGTTTCGTGAACATCACCGCTGAAGAGTTTATTGTTCCTGAACCTGATGTGAGTATTTATTGTAAATTATTTTGGCACTAGCTTCCACGCCTAGTCAACCTTTAGGTGATGGAGTGAGCTATTATCTAAAATTAAAGACTACGGCATTTCAAGCTATCCTTTTATTTTTTGAAGGGGTAAAATCATCCAATGACAACCCCCCGTTCCTATACCTGCACTTCGAGCCGGAGCCGAGCTCCGGCAACCCGTTAAGTCCTCCGCGGCTCGGTATCGGAGTCGCGAGTCTTATTGGGCCCCATCAGTGGTGGTCTGATGGCTCCTTGGCGCGCGGAACGCGACGCTCGCTCGGTTCTAGTTCTGATCGGGCGGCGAGTCACCCGTGCTCGCCGACCCCAGGCCCTTGCTTACGGTGACCGGAGATCGTCTAGCGATCCCCGACGCCCAGAGTGTCATTTGCGAAGGCTGGGGCGTGAGGAGGTTTGTTTTCTCACCGCCTCCTCTTTAGTTAGCATACCTGCTTCGCAGAAGGAGGAGACGGCATCCCAGTCCATATCAACCTACCCTAGCTGCAGAAATAACTTTAAAGGATATCGTAAAGCCATGTTTATGAGAAAAAAGCTGGTGTATGTACATGAGCATTGGACAATAAATTGAAAAGCAACAAAGGCATTCTAGATATGCATCCGTGCATACAATATTTTTATATTGTTGACATAAAAAGTAATATTGGTGGGTTCCTAAATCGAATACAAAAATTAAATGTAAAGTAAAATAGAGTATAGTAGAAATTCTTTCATTTTTAAAATTAATTCAAAATGTCTCAATGGCTATAAAAATAATTTCAGAATACATGATTAAAAACCGAATCTTTTCATCAGTAACATGATCGAAATAGACAAAGAAAGAAACCCTAGAGAGACAAGACCTTAAAAGTAATCGTAGACAAAAAAAACTTCATTAAAAAGGGTCTATTCAACAGAAATACTAAAAAACCATTTAAAATACTAGATAATAAAAAGGTTTTAATAAAAGAAAAATCTTAGTTTGCCAATGAAAATGAGGTTCAAAGATATGCTTGCTCACAGTCCTGAACGGTATTTTAATTTTAATCTGCATATTTTTGCCAAGTTTAAATTGTAATGAGTAAGGAGTTTTGCAAAATATTCAACAAAATTAAGATGTTCGCTGAAACTTCTGAACTGTAGGCTGATGTTTTTGTGCTAACTGAGATACTTTGCGCTTTGGGCAGTGATCTACGAAAGGAATGCGATGTGGAAGATACCTTATATTCGGAATAGTGATTTACTGCGCTTACCCCGTAGGTGTTAATATGTAGCCTATAGAGGTATGTTGACCCGACCTGTTACTAATAATCATACAGAATTTGAAGTAACTCCATGCAGTACTTTTTGAGATTATCTGGGACATACATAAAAACAAATAGACAAAAATTCTATAAACCATATTTTTGGCTTCAGTATGGATTGCTGATCACGCCCCAAGTATTCCTTCAAAAAAAAAACAATGTACAGTTTAGACTTTACTACGATTTTATTATATGTATATAGAAGATATGTATGGGTACATAACGCCAATTTTTAAAATTCCCGAAGCTAAAGACAGAGGTGCACTCAACACCTGGTTTTAACAGTTACCATATGAGTCACATATAATAGGGAGTAAGCTAATTGTTATTATTCCAGGCTATGTTTGTTAGAAGAACTAGAGAATCGAACCGAACGAGACCTTTTATTTAGTAATAGCACTTGTTTCAATGTCATAATCAAATCATTTATTTCAATTAGACCAATATTAGGCACCACGGATGGGGCCCAATATGGCTGATGCCGATACGGACCCGCGGAGAACTTAACTGGTTACCGGGGCTCCGGCTCGAAGTGCAGAAGTAGGAACGGGGTGGTTTTTAGTCAGTAAAAGTCTGACACTCCCTCCCGCCTCACCCAGGCGGGAGAAGTCATTCGATTATTTTCCCCCCTTAAAAAAGGGCACATTTGGACGTCAAACAAAATAAAAATTTTAGTCTGTCAGTCAGTCCTCTAAGTCCTCTATTTGCTCGTTCCAAAACCCTTTGGATATCCCTTTGGATATATACCCATAGTAATCTACCCAGATTCCTATGGAGAAGAATGAGCAATGTGCCCTTTTGACCAAGTATCACATTAACAGCCTCAGCAGCCACTGCTGACCAAAGACTTCTTACACAGAGAACGCTTGAGCATTAATCACCACGTTTGGCTCAAATCGGGTTGGCATTTCAAACTGGTGCCCTCACGATGTTTTCCTTCACCGTTTGTCAGTGGTTGACCAAACGTATAGTCTATAAAATGAACTTTATTACCTTTGCTATACGTACGACTAATATAACATCAAATATGTTCGTACATCCATATTATCTCGTAGATCGTAATGAGCATACATTGCTATCTCCATACTCAGCTCTCTACACAAAGAGCGGAGTTCAGTGTAAATGAGGAAGACGGAATATAAAATTGCATACTATATTATCCTGGCTTTCCTTAATTTGGCTTACCTTCTACATATATATATTCATAACACATCAAGCTATGCGAAACCAGTTCATTATGGCCTGCCGTTATATGGTCATACCGCAGATTTAAAGTTCAATTTATACTGGATATGTAAAGCTTGACATGTAACAATTTTAACCTATAATATAATATATCAAAATCATTCGTTTCTTAGAAATCTAAAGGGAAAGAATTTTCTGGTTCAAAGCGAAGCATAGAATTTGTTCTTACAATTTTCAATAGTTGTTTGGTTAACGATATTCTTTAAAGGATCTATTATTCTAGTTTATATCTCACATTGATATTTTCTAAAGGCAAAGAATATTAGGTGCTTTTGTTTCTGGAATACCAAGAATATCATCAGTTTGTTTTGTATACACATTGACTGTTAAGAGCCTCCTTCATAAGAAGGCGTTTACCATAATCACCACAAAATTTTATATGATAGGTAGGTACTATCTATCTCTCTATAGCGGGTAACATTTTTATACCATGTCTTGAACATTTAATATCCAATAGCATAACATAACATCAAGAAAGAAAGAAAAAACATTTATTCGACAACAGGCACGCACACAGATACAAAAAAAATAACATAACATAACATCACGCCTTTTATCCCCGAAAGGGTAGGCAGAGGTGCACATTACGGCACTTAATGCCACTGTAATGTAACACCCACTTTTCACTATTTATGTTATGGGTCCCATGTAATAGGGGGTGAGCTGAGCCTATTGCCATATACCGGGCACAGTTCCAGACTCCGTGCTACTACTGAGATTTTTTTTTAAAACCCAGTAATATCTTGCCCGTCAGCGACCATTCGGCCAACGAGGCAGTCGCAGCATGTCCAATAACATTTATACTTTATGCCATTTTATTGTGTTCTATTATTATGTCCTTCTTCAGATCTGCCTCATCCATTTTTCCTTCATCTCCGTTCCTGACCTTGTCCTGAATTATGCTTACGTAAAGTTTCAACCGGGGATTCATTGAGCCCAGTTAACGACTTAGTGGTTAACTACCAATTGGGTCTGGACGTAGTTTTAGAGCTCAAGTGTCATTGTGATGTATGTTTGTAGTAGGTACTTGGTCTCTTGGTTCTTATTGGCTACATGTTGTTGAAGAAATTGGCTTTTGGCCGGTAAACATGTGGGAATGTATCATTAGTTCTTCATTGAGATTTCGTGATTTAGTATTGGATTACTGTCTGGGTCAGGATTCTGTTCTGTGTTCAAATTGTAAGAGTTAGAAGTGCTCAAACCATTTAGACCTGACATCATCTATTCACATATAAATTGTGTATTTTCTTCAAGTCTATAAAAAATAATTCTTAACAATCTTTTATGTAGAGAAGAATGAGCCATTCTATATATGTAACAGTTTCCCATTATTCCAGAATTGCTAGAAGTAGGTAGCCTATCAGCGGGCTTGGTGTCCCCTGATACAAAGCGATTCAGTTTCCGATATACGTCACCGATCGCTCCACGGATAACGCAATCTGACGTCGAAAATATACACGCAAACTGAAATATCGTTGCCAATCTGTTGGTGCACTTTATATTTACATTTTCGCTCCAAAAAAGCTACATTTTTTGCAAAAATTCGCCTTCGTTACGCGTTTTTCTTTGTCCGCCCAATTTGACCAGATAAAATGCTTCAACGAACATCGAAGGAGTAGATTAAAAGAATAATTCAAGCGAATTTTACTAATGTCTACCGCAGCGGTCTTCATCACAATTCAGTCCATCGACAACCCTAATAATGTTTTGTCTCTTTTACACAGGGCACGAGTAAGAAGGAAAAGTTACACCGTCGTTTAGCACAACTGTACAACACGTCCATGGACAATGTGGATGTTTTCACCGTGTTCACGAAGAATACTGTGAAAGATGTTTTCTTGGATGTCCGATTTTCCGCACACGGATCCCCGTATTATCCTCCCGAGAAATTGGACAGCATGGTCATTGGGATACAAGAAAAGGTTCGTACCATCTTGTTAAACTTTACTTTTTAGAATTTCTTTGGTCACAAATGAGATTTCTGCACTTATACTAGGTTTGCTAAGTGCTCTGTATTAAGACCATGGAGTATGCCGCGCAAATGGCAATAATAGTTAGAATTTAATTTAGATACTTGCAACGTAGTTTACTATTAAACTCACGCTTCCTACTATCATTATTACATTAACAAAACTCAATTAGTTAAAAGTATGTTTTATGCTTTGTGAACTTGGCTCTACCAAAATTATGTTTCTTGGGTCTTTCATTCAAATTAATATGACCCTTTTAAACAGTTCCTATTTAGTCTGCAACGCATTTATGACGCCTTTAGTATCGCAAGTGTACGAAAGCTTATGTGTCCACTTAGAACCAGGCCCGGTGCTTGGTGAGCTACGTTGCTACCCTATATAATACTATAAAAATTGACAAAACTAAATAAGTCTAAACTTCATTATAGTGTCTGGTCGCAGAGCTGTCAGTTGAGTAATCAATTCGATCAGTTCTGTCGTGACCTCCCTACAAATGTATATAAAAACTTTTGCCAGGCAACTTTAATGCTAAGTTACTTGAAATAGGAGTTCCCAAGTCTATTAAGTTGTCCTTGACCCTTCGGGGTCGAAGTTTCAACCTTTATGTCCAAATATGGGTCCGTGGATTTAATGTTGTTAGCCAAGAATTCGGTTGAAAGAATTTTGTTGTACAATATTTTGATTTTATTTTATATTTCAACTATGTTATTTCTTCGTCTTTCTATGTTGATAGAGTACTAACTTTGTAATTTTTAAAACACTTTAATAGACTGTCCAAAACTGTAGGCTTAATGATGTATCTTACTATGTTCTTGCTTTAACACGTTCAGACCGGCGTGTACCACCGGTGGAGCACGGAGTATTTGCTGCCACGGCGAGGTGTACCACCGGTGGTACAAGCCGGTCTGAACGTGTTAAAATCTTGAAAGCAATCTTGCAACAAAACAAAAAAAAATTGTACCAATGACTGTTTCTTGTACACTTCATTTCCTATAAATCTACCATCTCCAATCACCAATTACATCTAGCCAATCAAAAATAAACCAACGCCCACACAACTTAAGCTCCAATCTTACCCATCCTTCCACCCACAGCTTGAAGAAGAACTCCAATCAAAGATCTACATGGTGAAAATAGACGAGTGCCTGATAGAGAAGGAGCAGTGTGAAGACTCCTGCCGCAATGTGCTGATGAAGAACAACGTGCCACTGTCCGTGTATACGAACACGACTAGTTTCGTTGGCGTCTCTGCTAGGGTGGAGTCAGAGTGCACCTGTGATGTCGTTGAACCCCTCGTGTGTTTGAATGGCGGTAAGGATTTTGTGTATAGGTTAAGATATTATATAAAACTGTCGAATTGAGAACCTCTTCCTTTTTTTTTTTGAAGTCGGTTGTAAAGGAGTCTGTTACTAAAGTACCTACCTAATTGTATAATTCAGAATAGGCATGTTATGCATCTATGAGCAGAGCATTTTTCTAAATTCTTAATATCTAAAACCTTATTTTTTATCCCTAGGTACTCCATTTGCGGATAAGTGCGAGTGTCCCGAAGGTCTCTCAGGACCTCATTGTGAGCAAACATCAATCGGTTTCCATGGCGACGGATGGGCCATGTACTCGTCTCCACCGGCCTGCCAGGAAGGTCACGTGACCTTGACAGTGACGTCACACTCTAGTAACAGTCTCGTCTTCTATTTAGGACCTTTGAAGCACAATCCGCTGTTGGAAGTCCAAGGTAAGTCGGTCTTGTACCTTTGTGGCCCTTAATTAATTCAAGATAGTCCCTTTTATCTTTGCCTTTTAAGATTGTATTTGGCATAAAAGAAAATGTATTATTTATAATACAAAATATTTGTCCATAATTCGCTATTATCAACGTATGCTATCGCTATAGCATACGTTGATAAAAAACTGCCAGCATAGCCAAGTCATGTCATTGAACTTATTTTTACCATCTCTAAAATCCCATTTATATTTGCAACCAACACATTGAAATCGGTTTCATATTCTAGGATACATACTATAAGAAACAAATAAAGAAACTCATGACCGATTCCATACTTTAAGGCTTGTATGTATCACTAGCTTTCCTTGCGGCTTTGCACACGTTAACGTTTTCAAGATGACTATCATATTATGCAAAATTTCAAGAAGATAGATTGAATAGATAAAGTATTAATTAGTATAACAAACAATCTTTCACAATAGCGTACACGACTAATTTTCATTTTAATGACCGTATGGTAGATTATTTGAAACCATTAGACACACGTATGTTTTATTTTCTTACGTACACAGATACTTTCGACGATATATCGATTTGAAATATCGAGTGACGTCACTGTTGTGTACGTTTTATACTCAAAAGTAACATAGTTAGCATCCACTCCTAAACTTTTTTTACCTAAGCATTGTTTTATTATACGACAAAATAAACAATATCTACGTGTCTAATATTTTTTCATTAAGTACCTAATTGACGGACTGATTCGAATTTTAATTTTCATACCCTGTCATCATCCCTATTACATTACTTAAAATCCAATTCACGTAACATTACTACACACACACGCACGCACAATTGTTTGTACGTAATGTTTTGGTATAAATATTTGTCTGCCACTCAAGTATTTGCCGTCAAACCGAAACCAAGTCAACTGGCATTGAATGCCATCCCATGTTTTGTGTCTACGCCTTTGTATTTCGTTGAGGTATATCGAATATTCCAGAATTGTGATACTTAGACATGCTTACCTAAGTTTTCATTCAATACTAAATAGGGTAGTTTCCTAAATTTTATTTTAATGTCCGTCTGGTACATAATTTAAAACACTGGATACGTTATTTTTCTTTTCTCACAAAATAAAATACTTTCGACGACATATTAATTTGAAATATCGTGTGACGTCACAGCGTGTCATATTTTGTAGCACGTTATGACGTAACGACCTCCCACTCCTAAACTTAGCGCCATTTTGTCTAAGTATTGCAACTGAATACGAGAAAATAAAAAATACGTGTCTAATATTTTTTCATTGTCTAACTGACGGACTAATTAGATTTTAAATTTTGATACCCTGGAAACTAGATTTTGTGTTTAAGTTTTATTATAATATGGATCAAGTGTCTCGCCAAAATAGGATAACATTCCGTGTCACAATTTAGTCGAAGATGACAAAAAACATATTTAGGTCATCTCAAGTTGGTCTAGTTATAGATGACAAAAGATAACGTTTTTAGTCCAGTTTAGTGTCCTTATACGGAATATCATTGCCTACAATGCTATTAAAAATGAAATGCCCATGTCCGGATCGACTTAAAATATCAATCAACGTAATCTCATAAAACCATTTATAAAAACGTAAGCAGATTGCATCTTATATCGAATTGAGAAAAGAAGATAATAACCAGGTCACAAACGAATATAATAAAAATGAAATATATCTACCAAAAGTCAGAATCCAATTACGTGACGCGTACAAACATAGCGCTGTTTCCTTCAATTTCAAGATGGCCGCCGAACGTCAACTTTGGAACGATACAAATTACAATAATACCTGAGATTGATTTTCAATGATATTTTCTCTTCGTTCGTTATCTTTTTTGCGCTGATTTACATCTTTTTGTTATGTTTTGTTTGGTCTCTGTAGATTTCTTAGATTGTCTCGTCGATCGAGTGGTTGTTTGTACTGTTGAGTAGGGACTGGAGTGATTGGCGATAGGATATTATGTAATTAGGACCAAATATAAGTGAGTAAAGTGCGCGTCCGGTATACTTTTGCTTATTCTTTTACGGAATAAAAGGTTTGGTGACGATGACATTGTCTCAAAACGAAATTAGAAGTGACTAGGTTGCATATGATTAATATTGTATTTAGGACAATCTCTTTTTGATTCATAACATTTTAAATTTGGTATGATAAGTCGAATTAATTGTTTGTTAACAAAAACAACAACAACAGCCTATAAATGCCCACCGCTGCAAAGCCTCTTCTCACACGGAGAAGGTTTGAGCATTAATCACCACGCTTGCTCAATGCGGGTTGGCGATTACAAACTTATAATTTATTAGAAATTATAAGTCCCGGTTTCCTCACGATGTTTTCCTTCATTGTTTGTTAGTAGTGTCTAGATAATCTTAGAAAGTATATATAACTCGGAAAAACTCACATTGGTACTTGCCGTTGGTAGGTTTCGAACCCGCACCCTTATATGCATGAGAAGCGGGCATCTTTAACCACGACAATATATTTAATACTTAATGATAATATAATTACGCCTAGAAGGCCAGTGATCGTTTCATAATAAAAAAAATCACATCGAAATAAAAGCAATTATTAACATGAATATTAATAAAACAACAATGTAATTTCACGCAAATAACCTTAATATAAATGAAATAAACAGTAGAAAATGGAATCGGAACCCAATGAAATTCCAATGTACTTAAAAAGCGATTTTCAATATATTTCAACGGTAAAAGCAAATATTTCGGAACGAGTGCCAAATTGCCAATCTAGCAAAGTGTTGTGTCCACATCGAGCCGTGTTAAAGGACCCACTTAATTTGTGTCAACTGACGTGCCAAAGAACAGCTCAACATTGAAGAAAACACTTCAAATCTCTAAAATATAGATACAAACAGGATTTTAGATAAATTACTTAACATCACGCCTTTTATCCCCGAAGGGGTAGGCTGAGGTGCACATTACGGCACTTAATCTCACTGTACAATGTAACACCCACTTTTCACTATTTATGTTATGAGTCCCCTGTCATAGGCGGTGAGTATATTGCCATATAGCGGGCACATTTCCAGGCTCGGTGCTACTACTGAGGTTTTTACAAACCCAGTAATACTTTGCCCGACCCGGGAATCGAACCCGAGACCACTTGCTCGGCAGTTGCACTTGCGACCACTCGGCCAATGAGGCAGTCAAGACAGATTTTGTTAGCTGGTTGTTTAGTAGGCCGATTTTTTTCATGAAATTAAAAAAAAAATTGATCTTTGTGCTAGTTTTCTTCTTTCCTTCTTATTGAAACTAAAATGATTTTAAGGTATTACACACTTTTTTCTCTAGAAATAAATTATAACTTTGAATTATAGAAAATTCTCACTATTTTATTACTGTTCTGTTTTTTTTTCTAAGATTCGTTTGTAATGTAACTCGTAACAGTTTGGCATTTACAAAATTTATTACCACTAAAACCTTTTTTTATATAATTTCTTTATATTCTAAATTTGAAATGAGTAGAAGCGTAAAAAAATAAAATTAGAAAGGTACAGACTTCAATAAAAATAGGGACCATATGATTTTCGTAATCAAACATTATTAGTTTTCGTGTAAACGTAGTAACGAGAAAAATAAAAAGCTCGACTATACATTATACCCAATAGACAATAACTTTCACAACAACGAATGAGAATATTAACAAATAAATAAAAGAGCGATATATATCCTAAAATAAAAATACAATACATGATATAAATACACGTGATTTTTATCCGAACTCAAAACGAAAATTACAACGAACGGTATTTCACAGAATTACTCTCTTCATCAATATTCCGATCATGGTTTATTGCTCGACACGGTAGGTATACAAAAGTTCACAAACCTATCGTTAACTAGAATTCCACTTGCAAGCATAACAGTCTGAACAACAATGAACATGTCACTGTAGATTGGCGTAACTACTTGAATAATGATTTCCTCACAATGGGCCCTCATTCAGACCGAAAAAGTACCTTTATTTTTGTACCCAATCAGCCGACGCGATGTTGTAATGGCGGCAAAAACAGCCAATCAGAATGACGCATTTGCATTCTTGGTTGCTAAGACTGTGTGCGTCTTTGTAGTTTTACTTGACTTTACGTTTATTGTTCGGGTGGCCAGGATTTGTTGTTGAAGTTGGACATTCTCATTTAGGTTTATGTTTGCTGTTGTATCGAGACACATGAAATTCCTCAAATAGTAAAAAGTTAATTCCTTTGAGTGTTATGAATTATGAATGAATGAATTCTTAATCAAAACTGGCTACACGAACATATCAATAATATATAAACGTGAAAAAATTATGATTGCGAAAGGTACTATGAAATATAACTTGTCGACATTGTAACATCGATTTCACAGGTGACATAAATAAAGTTAATCGACTGCAAAATGAAATATAGAGGTATAAACAAGTGGATAACGATACTCAACAGATCCATCAATCAAGTTTCAAGGGTTGTTATTCATTGTATACTGTGTACTATGTATTTTATTTTGACAATTACGTCATTTATAAATCCTATTGTCATTCACAAGTTATCCAGTGAACTACCTAACACGCTGCCATCCCACACTTGAATGGCTAACTCTGTAATGATTTTTTAATGATACCATAATGACTGACAGGCGTGTACCTACCTATAGAACATTATGATTTATGAAAGTAACCATCGCGTGATAGGTGGAACCTTTAATACCTTTTCGACTGTTACGTTATTATTTTTGTTGTGTTGGTACACCTAGTTTGTATATAATTAATATACGAAGCGACGAGGATTAGTCTATAAAAAAACATTGTTCATTGTTACCCTGTTCGGTTTCGATATTTCGTAATTAATAGGTTTAATAGTGTTTTCATATGTTCGCGTTGTTTGAAATAATAATTAACAGTAGTTTATTGGTAAGATATTGTTTTGACGGGTTCGACATTCTGTTGGCACAGACGGTACCGCAAAACACGTAGACTTTTGATTTAGTAATAAATGGAATACATCAAATATTTTGATATTAATGTCTTGACCAAAAAAACTACACGAAATTATGTAGGTATTTATTTATTTGAATTGGATCCTTGCTGATAGTAAAATATACATGATATAAGATAAAACTCGAGTTTCCACGTAGTACCTACTAAATGTATAACTATAAAACTAACAACAAACATTTGTCCACAGATTTCATGTCCTTGGAACTGGTAGAAGGTTTTCCAGTACTCCTCGTCAATTATGGATCTGGCACGACCAGACTAAACAACAGTGTAGTCCACGTGGCTGATGGAAAGCCTCATTTGATCGAAATAGTTCTCATGAGAAGTTCTATAGAAATGTTCGTAGACAGATGTAAATTGTCTACGTGTATGAGCCTTGCTGCTCCTACGGGTCCAAGGGAGATTTTAAATGGTGAGTTACACTCCTACCTACTAGTTATTTTAGGTATTATATCATAATGCTATTGTTAGTTTGTGGAATAAAAGATAAATTAAATAAGATAAAAAGATTTAAATATAGTACTTTATTCTAGTCTGACTGGCAATTTTGAATATAAAATAAATATCAGAATATCATTGCAAAATATAATTGTGGAACCTACCAACGTCATTTAATATTTGAAATGGATTGAAATAGTTTATATTAAATTTCCAAGAACTCTATAGTCCCTGAAAATGTAATTTGTTATTCACTGAACATTAATAGTAATTAATGTTTTCTTAATTATATTAAAAGTTACAAAGCTTCATTCATGTTTTAGTAAATTTTAATAATGAATTTAATTGTTTTTCGTCATTACTTACCGAATTTACTTTAAAAAGCGAAGTTTAAAATATATTGTTAGCATGAACTAAATTCAGAAACCCTAACTTTGTAAGTTGGTTAAAACTTGTTAATAGTTTTAAATACTTAAGTCTTTTACATTTGTAGGTACTAATTTAATTACTAGTAGTTTTGTGTTACACTTACAAGTGAGATTTATTTTTGGGACCAGTTTTAATATGTTTTTAGATTAATTTGAATAACAGTCTGTTTCAAATTTTTAAATTTTGAGACCTTTATATAAACTATAATTATTATTATTTAAATGTAGTTTTTTTTTACTTTACACGCACAACTTTATTAAATTTCCAATAAAAACTTAAGTAATATTAAAATTAACTATTACTAAATTAATAATAAGATATATACAACTTAAGATTAAAATTATATAAAAGAAAAACAAAAACAAATAAATGTAGTTAAATTTAGTAATTAAATTATAATTAGAGACAGAGGTGCCTGTATACGTCATCTTACGTGTAGTGAATATTCTAATAATTTATCAATGGTTTGATTAATTTTTTATCTTACACATTTAATATTTATTAGAAATGTTATAAACGAATAATTTTGTCCACAGTAAACGGTCCACTGCAACTAGGAGGCTCCAGTATAGACCTCCAACACTTGGCTAGAACGTTCGGCTGGAAACACGTGCCAACCAATCAAAATTTCGTAGGATGCATCAGTAACTTCACATATAACGACTTTGTAAGTATTTTGTCACAGCCAAAACTTTATTAATATTCACATCGAAAATTTTGATGTTTCCTTTTCCATGAATCTACGAAATTGAATTTCGTTTATAATTCTGAAATATTAGTGGAAAATCCTCATTTTTTAGACTCATTGTCACCCTACATTTGTTCTAATTACTGTTCCGATTTTAAAATGCACGCGCCTGCACATTAAGAGAAAATAAACAAAGAATATTGAGCCAATTTAACATGATAACCGATTTTGTTTGAGAATTAGACCATATTTATTGACTTATATTACTATTTTATTTTGATGGATAGTGTCTTTACGTAGTCGGTCATAAAATGTATCAGATTTTATGTACTTTCATTCTTCTTTTATCACATCACACATCAACAGCCTATAAGTGTCAGCCAAAGGTCTCTTCTTATACGGAGAAGCTTTGAGCATTAATGACTACACGGTTGGCGCGGTGGCTGGGCAACTAGCTGCCGCGCAACGTGTCACGGTTTCCATTCCCGCACGGAACAACTCTTTGTGTGATCCACAGATTGTTGTTTCGAGTCTGAATGACATGTGTATGTGAACTTGTATGTTTGGAAACGCACACATGATACAGGAGAAATAGAGAGTGTGGGGCAACGTTTAAAAAAAAATTATCACCACGCTTGCTCAAGGCCGATTGCAGATTGCAAACTGCAGGCGTCCGGGGAAACAAATAATTCCTCTATTGTGTAATAATATAGCCCTTTATTCCGAACTTTTACAGTGTTTATTTTGTTTTATAAAATGTCCTTCAGTTCAGTGTGTCTTTTGACATAGGCCTCCTCCAGCTGCTTCCATTGCACTCTGTCTATTGTCTATAAAGGTCCCAAGGCTAAGCGAAAGTCGTCTTCACATTGTACTGAATCTAATTATTCCTTCTGTCCAATCTAGATGTACAACTTGGGAGAGCCGTCGTTACATCGCAATGCGGACCCCAGTTGCCAACGCAGCATGTTCACCGCCGTCACCTTCGGCATCGACACCAACTTCTTAGTAGCCATACTTGTCTGCATCGTCATATTAGCAAGTAAGTATTATTTAAACTGTTTAAATAAGTATTGAATTATGAAACAGAGATATTTCGACTTTATGGAGAACAAAATAAGGTTAAAGTGTATTTTTTTCTAGTTTTTGTTGGATTCCAATAAGTTATGACTAAGTCTAATGCTGCTTATGGAGAAGTTATGATTTCTTAGGCATTTTGTTACATTGATATAAAAACGTGTGGGTTTGTATTGCAATCTATCTACTGTTCCATTTTACAAAGAGAAAATCCTGATTTACTAATGGCTCAATTTATTTCCATTAAATAATCCCAACCTGGTATTGACACAAAAAGAATCATCTAAACACTGACAACACAAAATAATGTCCTTTTTATTTCAAATAGAATAGAATACCTACGTCCTACATTTACTCAAATCAGACAAAATCTATTTCACCCAAAGCTACTGGTTTGGACAGATAGACAGGTTTTTGTACAAATTCTATACAAAAAATGTTACAAGATAAAATTTTAGAATTTCCCAAAAAAGTTTGGAAAAATCCTTGTCACATCACATGCCTTACATAATAAAAATATTAACTTTTGCGCGGCAACGGCCGGCTTTGGGTGAAATCGGCATAATATTTTCATATACTTTTACTTTAATAAATTCATTTTAAAACTTTTTTCGACGTAATTTTATACGGAGAGGTCTCTAACTGACCCTAGGGGTGTCAACGGGTCACTTTTTAAAATACTAAATGTTTAAGATTTTTCTTTGACTTGCCATATTTTTAACAGTTTTGTTATGATTGATTTTTCTAGCAAACGAACTATATTATAATACTGTTCTGTATTTTTGAAGCAGTAGTAGTGAAGCTGGTCGCAAGTGCGACTACCGGGCAAGAGGTCTCGGGTTCGATTCCCGGGTCGGGCAAAGTACTACTGGGTTTTTTATAACTTCTCAGTAGTAGCACGGAGTATGGAATTGTGCCCGGTATATGGCAATAGGCTCACCCCCTATTACATGGAATCATAACATAAATAGTGAAAGTGGGTGTTACATTGTACAGTGGCATTAAGTGCCGTAATGTGCCTATCCTTCAGGGTATAAATATGTTTTTTATTCTTATTTACTCTGAAAACCAGCTTCTTTTAATACCCATCACCAATTTATCAACTTCAGAACCTAATCACCATATTTTGTTACAGTTCTTCTCCTAGCAGTGGTAGTACACCGCAGACGAGCTGATGCCTGGGCTGAGAAGGAACTAGACGACATAAGAGAGAACATCATTGCTTACGAAGACGAGGGTGGCGGCGAGGGAGACGCTGGATACGACCTGCATGTCCTCAGGCAGATGTATGATGGTCCACTGCCTGATACTGACACCTTCATGCAGAGTAGAGGTAAGAACTCAACATGTTTTTTTACAGCATTAGCCGGTAACCGAGCAGACGGATCACCTGATGTTTAGCAATCGGCGTCGAAACACCAAGGCGTTACCTTACGTTACCGGCCTTTTGGGAATTGGGAATTTGAAGATTGTGGAGGATTCGGGGATTCGGGAGACTAGGAAAGGGGTGTAATTGGGCCTCCAGTAACCTCACTCACACGATGAAAATTGTAAAATTTCACCCGCTCTTCTCGGCTCCTATTGATCGTAGTGTTTTAGAGCCTGTAGCCTTCCTCTTATCAAATTCGAACTAGTAGAACCGGGCTCTTTCGTAGCTGAACAAGGTAACTTGACCCTGTTCTACTGCTAATCTGTATGAGTCCTTCCCATTACATCGTCGTACAGTTACGCAAGTAAGCTGTCACCATAGTTAAAATATTTTGACTGAATTACAGCATTATTCTCATTTGCATAGATTTTTCTATTTTGACTATTTACTCGGTTATCTGGTTAGAATTAAAATGTCATTTAATTAAGACAGCTACGTCCTTATTATGCCCACTACTGCTCATACTAACTAATTCTTGGTCAGAGCTGTGTTCCAACTAGCCGTAACGAATTTATACTCGGTTAATTAAGGTAAACACGCTGTACAACTTGGAATCCCTGTTTAAAATATTTACTGTTCAGTGTATGTAAATACGAGTTGTACACCAAAGAAAATGTCAAAGAGATTTTATAAAACTACTGAATTCGGAATCCAAAATACGTTTTTCTTTATATCTTATTCAAAAAAGTAAACAATATTTGAGTATTAGCAGAATACGGCATCAAAATACCTAAAAATCTATTGCTTACACAAAATAAAGTATAGATTATATCTACATACAACGACCAGGTAAAAGTACACGGAAAAGAGCGAATATCATCAAAATCATCGCAATTCTAAGAAAGGAAAAGACATCTTCTATCGTTTAGTCTAAGAGCTAGTGAACACTCCAAATGGCCATCGAACGTAACAGAGTTTAGATTTAAGGCAATACTTTCGTAGAATTTTATAAAATACAGCAAAAATAAAGTTCTTCTTAGTAAGTAGTCAGTAGCCAGTAAGTAGTCACGACCTAGCAGTCATCAGTTCTGCACATCATCTTTTTTTAAAACCTTGTTTTGTATGATCTTTCCGCGCATTCAAAGATCAGTTTGTTATACTAGTCATGTACATCTTGATTTGTTATCTACATAGTATGTTCATTGTCTTACAAATTTCTAAACATACAAGACGAATTTTATATGGAAGGTTCAATAGCTCTTAGACTATATATTATTATATTTACATCAGATTTACCGGAATCCGCAAATCTCTGCTTCAATATAATTTACTGTCAAAAGCAGATTTCAGCAAAAAATAATAATGTAATGAGATCTAGGGTTCATTTTTAACCTGTTTTCGCCAGGTCAACGAGTTTGTGAATGGGTATTGAAAATGTGACCGGTATCATAGAGTATTTAGTTTGTTTTTTTAATGTCAATTCGTACTTTATTGAGCTTTTATATATTGATCTAAACGGTGATTCCTTTAGAATTTGCTATGGATTTCTTGTTAAATGCAGTTTTGCTAATTTTATAGAAGAATTTTTCTGCTTATGAATATCCAATTTAATATAAATATTTGACTCAGAATGATTGGAATAAAGGGGTGAGAAAGATCCCAGATTAGTTTTCAATTTTTAATCAGAACTGCACTGCCATGATTTTTCGTAATTTTAATTAAACTCAGAAATATGTAAACAAAATTTTTCATGTAGTTTATCAAACATACCTACACTAAATAAAAAATACTATAATACACAATAATTTACCTTCATTAATTCCCAATAACGTTCATTTTACAACAAATTTCTTCTTCCTTAGGTATGGTAGGCGCAGCGCCAGATATCTCAGGATTCCTGGACGACAAGAAGTCTGTCCTGGACCGGGATCCAGACATCACGCCGTACGATGACGTCAGACACTACGCGTATGAGGGAGACGGGAATACTAGTGGTTCTCTCTCTTCTTTAGCGAGCTGTAAGTATTGTTTTTAACCTTATAATTTGTACATTCATATTTGATTCATTTGTGCTATTTCTTCTGCATTTATTATTGGCGTTAGCTATCTGAGATAAATTATTGTGGTACACATAAAGTCAAAATTAAAATAGATACACTTTTCCAATCTCCTCATCACCTCCTTATTTTACATTCTAAAGATATTTACAGAAGATTTTACTTACCATGAAGGTTTATTGAATCTGGCAATGTGAATCTGGCACATCTCGTAGCCAGACTACATTATATTATTTAAATAAATCTTTATATCTAGATATTTAGTTTAAGGCGATTTTGATCGAGCATATTTAAAGTAGAATTGAAACCATTCACTTCTATTACTGAAACATTTTTCACAGCAAGTGAAAATATAAAATTTTCACAAAAATGTATTGTCGATAATGTTTTATGCACGCCCAACAAGATTGATTTTATGCTTGATAAAATCTTGCAGAGAGAACTAAAATATCAACGATGAATAAATCCGATTGATCGTCACTGATATTTTTTTCATTATAGAGAAAAAGTATTTTTTCTTTTTTGTAAAATTGCTACACAATTTTAAGATCCAAGCTTTGCATTACGAATTTAAGAATATTCTATGTATCGAAAAACCCAATACAATTTTACCATCTTCGAATGTAATCTTTTTAGACCTAACGCTCACCAGACTTACTTAGAAATCCTTTTTGATAAAACCTAATATTCGATCAAGCATTAATATTTTTCTAATTCCTTAGGTACGGACGATGGAGACCTCAAATTCAACTACCTACAAACATTTGGTCCTCGGTTCCGCAAGTTGGCGGACATGTATGGAGATGAGGATGAGGACCGGCCACACGAGGAGTCTTGGTGCTAGCGCCACGCTTGGCTCGTGTAGCCTCCTGACTGTCCAGGCCCTGTGCCAAGTGCTTGGTGAACCACCAAGCTCCATGATGCCTTACCGCTTAACAGCGTTTGATTTAAAAAGGTACTTGTGTTGCCAGTGACAATTATTATAACTCCCCACCGGATAACCCCTTTCATTGAAATTGACATTTTAAATTTGAATTTAGAACCATGATTGTGATATTGTGACCTCTTTTGACGGTTCGCTTTGGGATTGTATGAAGTTTGGCGGTTGATTCTTTTTTTATCTGTGACGGAATAATATTGTACAATATTTTTGACAGATGGAGTGACATTTATGTTTTTTTCTTTTTTTCTATTCTATTTAGTGCTGCAACTATTGTTTCAATTGTTTTTTTATGATTGTCATGTTCTTGTAATGTGATCTGTAGAAAATATGGCCTAATTCTTTTAAGGTAACCTCTTACTTCCTTCAGATGACATTACAGATTACTTATGATTTTAATATCCTTTACGAATTATACTGTGAAGTCTAATTATATTTATGTTTGGCATCACAACTTACTCGACTTGATTTTCAACTAAACATAATTCGAACTGATCCCTTAGCTACAATTTATTACAAAGAAAAAAAAAATGTGTCAAAAACAATTTGTGAATTAACAGCAGTATTACATTTAAAATACGAGAATTACATTTCAAAAAGTGGGTTCAATTGAAAACTGATTAATGTAAAAGCGAAGTGATAATCTTAAATGGTGGAATGTTCTTAGTAAATTGCGTTTTAAGGTAAATAATATGTATTCAATTATAATTGTATTCAAATAAATCACATTAAAGAAATGTTTTTTAAGAAAATGACTGATGTAACGTTTAGGCATTGTTGTAGATACGCCTACATTATTTCGACTATGTAATTTTTATATTGTAAAATGTTTAGGACAGAAATTGAGTGATGTATGACTTCTATTTAAGACTTTTATACGTATTATTCATTTAGTTTTTTAATAGTTCGGCCTTAGATGTTAGTTAGCGGTACTGGTTGGGATGGTCACACGCCTTGATAGTCGCCTCGCCTCTTTGGCAGCTGAATTCATTCAGTAAATTATTTAAAATGAATGTTAAATAATTTATTAAATGAAACATGTATTTATAAAGCTTTTTCCGATTGTGACATTTAGACGTCTGAATAAAACGCGCGTTCTTTAAACGTGAAGTTAGTCAAATATCAACCAATCTGAACATAGCTACAATTTCGAATCATTCGAAATTCGAAAACGGTTGAGGCTTGGCTTGAAGGGCAATTCCTACTTTATAATATTAAAGATGGAACGAAAGTGCCATTTTTTCTTATTTTTATTATAATTAGCCATACATACAGACGTAATATGTTTGAAAAAAATTTGTAACGGTTTCATAAAAAGGGCCTACGTATTGACTAGTGTTTTACACAAATTTTGTTATGCGATACAACCAATATGTGTGATTCTTTATACTTTTGTGTACGGTGCAAATTTATGTACCTTTAATTTTAATGAACGTGTAATGTTATGAATAGTTTCAAATAAATGTAAGTTCGTCTTAATTGGAATATAGTAGATTATATATATATATATATAAAAACGTGTAAATATGTACAGTGACGGATAAACATTGTGTGGAAACTTAATATTCAGTAAATTAACTTTTGTATGGTTAATCTTAGGCGAATATACAAGGTGTCTTATCATTATGCATATCAACGAATTGTAATATTAAAATTATTCCCTAATCGGATCCGTTGTTTGGACAAAGTTTTCAATGTGACATATGCCTATGTGTAATATCCATAATATTATAAATATCCTTAGCATTTAACTAACTATAGCTACGAATAAATATCCTCTATTTATTTCGGACCAATAAAAACCTTTATCCATTTGTATCCACAAAATTTTTAGTTGAATACTAGTCTGCCAACACGTTCACCACAGACAATTCGAGCTATGTAGTTTTTTTTATTATTGTTTAATTTAGTACGATGGAATGATATTCCGTTTTGTGCGTAAAATGAACAAATTTTATTGGAAAATAGTTGCATTATTCTATTTAGACGAATTCTTATGTTTTTTGTGTCCATAGATTATAATTATTTAGTCGTTTCGTTCGCTTAATTGATTAAAAACTTTTTTGTTATTGATGTTGTTTGTAATTAGTTTTTAAGTAGGCACAGATTAAAAATAGTACTGTCATGTACTTCGATTTAGGTTTATTTTTTTATAATTTTGATACCGATCCTATGAGCTGTTTACGTATGTATTTGATTTCGTATATTATTTTATGCTGCCGTACGTATTTGAAAATAAATGTTAATTCCTCCCTTTATTTTGAGTTTGCAATTTTGAAACGAAAATCCTTTACAGATTTGAATTTTTTAATGTTGTTTTTCATGATTTCGTTGAAACCATTTGATATGGAAATACAACAAATAGGTAACTAATATTTGTATTGGTGGACCCTGTTTAAACATGTATGATTTTTTACTATTCCCAGAACGTAGCTTTGTAATAGGTTATTTTTTTGATGAATTTTCCTAGTTAACTTTTTGAAGATTATTGTGTTTTGGTACTTTTCTAGTATCGAAACACATTATTCCTCAAAAACAATAAAATAGTTAAGAAACGGTGTAAAAAGTAACTTTGATGACATTCCAATATACATACGTTATTAAAAATGTAATATTTAATGATCAATTACTCGTACTTAGGCATTGTCGGTGGACATTATTCAAAATTGGAAATAATTTTCAAAACTGGCCACCCACAAATAAAACACTGCCATATATAAAAATGTAAGTATAAGGACGCTTTTAAAAACTTTTTTTAATTTATTGACTTAAATACGAGGTTAATTTAAATGTCAACTTTAAGGGATTAAGTGCCTTCTGTTCTTATGAACATTATAATATTTTAATACATATTTTTTTGAATTTCATTGTACCTCTCATAGGTAACTGCAGTAGATTTTCGTTTATTAGTCACTTGCATTAATGAATTAAGTGAAAAAAAATTATGTTCTTTTTATAGTATTTTTATTTTGACTTTTCTAGAAGAAGAAATTAATATCTTAAACATTTAGTTAATATTAATTCATTTATTTTCAAGTGACTAGAAAGGATAGGTGTCCATTCGACGCGGCTCAAAAGCCTTGAATCTGCACCCATCTTTTATCTATGGCGTTTTACTTTTTAAGCGCGTGATAATCTTGTAACTGCGATAAATATCGTTTTTATAAGTAATTGTATAATAGATCGACCATATAAGTTTATGTACCTAAGTAAAGAGTATGTGTACCTAATTATCAAAGTAAAGATGGATGTTTTACGGTAAAGCAGAGAGCGACTGATGATTGTCATATTACTATAGGATAGCTTGGACTTTGTTACATAGACATAAGTATTCGAGGTCGATATTGGAATAAACGAAATGAAATAGATTTTTTGAGTTTTATTCATCATCATTTTCATCAACACCATCAACAATAAATAGCCTGTGATGTCGGACTACTGGACTATCCAATAGGGATGATGCCAGGGTATTAAATTAAAAATCTAATTACTTCGTCAGTTACGCAATGAAAAATATTAGACACATATTTTTTTATTTTGATGTATAATAAAATGATACTTAGATATAACGAATCAAAGTTTAGGAGTGGGGGCTAAAACGTCATTTTTACATATAAAATGTACATAGAAGTGATGTCACGCGACATTTCAAATCAATATATCGTCGAAAGTATTCGTTTCTGTAAAAAAATAAAAAACACGGCTCAGACGGACATTAAAATAAAAAATAGTCATCTACCCTATTGAGCCTCCTTGACGGCGGAGATACACAATGTTTCACGTTAGTATTCTACGAGGCCGTGGTATAACTGGTTGATTTGTGCCGAAGCATGACTCTTCTACATAAAATAACTTAACAATACTAGACATAAAAATAAAAATCAGTTTAAAATAAGCAGACGAAGTCATGGATACATAATAAAAATCGCTTTAAGCTTCCTTGTGCGAACTGCTAAGGAGTGGAATTCTTCTGTGAAGGGAAATTTCTTTTTAAAATATGAACTAGCGTTTATGTTTCTATTGAATACTAGCTTCTGCCCGCGACTTCGTACGCGCAATCCCATTTTCCCCCGTTCCCGTTCGTGATTTTCGGTAAAAAGTAAAAAAAAAAATTTGGTTAAAAAGTATCCTATGCCTCCTGGCTCTAAGCTACCTCCCTACCAATTTTCAGCCAAATCTATTCTGCCATTCTTGAGTTATAAGTGGTGTAACTAACACGACTTTCTTTTATATATATATAGATATATAGATAAAACAAACGAGATCTTATGTGTGAAAAAATCAAAAATATGAATTTATTATAGGGCAATTTTCCATAAAAACAAAATAAAAGGTCTTGCAAAAGTCGTAAATTTATTTTATACTAGCTGAGCCCGCGACTTCGTCCGCGTGGAATACAGCTCCTCCCCCGTAGTTGATACCATGATAATATGTAGTCTATATGTTGACCCGACCTGTTAGTAATATTCATGCAAAATTTGAAGTAAATCCATGCAGCACTTTTTGAGTTCAACCCGGACATACATACAGACAAACAAACAAAAATTCTAAAAACCATATTTTGGTTTTGGTAGGTATCGACTGTAGATCACGCCCAAAGCATTCTTTAAAAAAAATATTCGATGTACAGTTTTCACTTTCCTACGATTTTATTATATATGTGTAGTAACTACTTGATTAAAAGTAATTACCACTTACCACCAGGCGAGATAGTGGTCAAACGTGGACCCATCAAATATTTCAGTTAAAATAGGACTTAAAAAGCAACTAAGCGAATTTAACGTGCATAGACCTTCTGATTACACCCTCAAAGAAATAACAGGCGTATATTAAGTTTATTAAAGTCCTACAGCAATCTAGAACATGTACAAACAATAACAATATAGTACCTAAATACACTATAT